TTTTGAAATACCTCCCTCAGCTAGTTAATTCACCCCCCCCACACCTTCTTGCTGGCCATTTCTGTGCCACGTAGGACCCTGCAGAAAGGCTGGGCGCTGGCAGCCGCTTACCGGAGTCACAGCAGCACAGTGGAAATAAACTGGCTCTGGCATCACGGCTGGGAGTTTCACCCACTGGAAGGTCTGCAAGCTCAGTTTCCAGATGTCTCCCAGGATCACTTCTCCGTTGTATCCTCCGCAGACAAAGACATCTGAATCGACAAACGGCACAGGGGCTTAGGCGTTGTTTTCCCACCATAAAGGGGCACACAAGGAGGGTTTGCTCAGTTCTTCAGCTGGTGCAGAGAAACTGCCGTTTCCACAGCGGTTTCTCTCACCAGACTTCCCCGAAAATAAAACAGTGTCTTATATTAATTTTTGCTCCCAAAGATGCGCTAAGTCTTATTTTCGGGGGATGTCTTACTTTCGGGAAAACAGGGTACTCCGGGGAGGCCTTATTATTGGGGAGGTCTTATTTTCGGGGGGATGCCTTATATTACAGCGAGAGGCAAAACTGGAAGTAGGTCTTATTTTCGGGGGATGTCTTACTTTTGGGGAAACAGGGTATGCTCCCCCACCTCCATCTTTTCAAGGAAATACCGTACTTTTATATATAGACACCCCCGTGTATAAGACTACCGCCGTGTATAAGACACTACCCCTGTGTCTTATATATAAGACACCCCCGTGTATAAGACTACCCCTATTTTGGGGGACTCAAAGAAAATGGGGGAAGATGGCACAGAGTTGCTGAGCTTTTTTTTTTTTTTTGCAGAGGATTGCCAAAAATCGCTCGCCCGCAGGTGTTGCAAAATCCGCCTCCCGTCTGTCCCATTGCCTGCAGAAGCTGCCAATCGCCTGCCCAACTGCTGGAGCGTCAGCCAATCAACACCACCCATTGACGCAGCAACCAATAACACACAACAACAACCACGGCAGCAACCAATCAAACGTCCACCCTATGCACTACCAATGTATAAGACGACCCCCACTTTTCAGCATGATTTTTAAAGAAAAAAACATCTTCTACATGGAAAAGTACAGTAACTTTTAATCTTGCCTGGGAACCTAGGAATCCTGGGAACCTAGGAATCATCTGAGGCGCTCTCTCCCTGAGAAGCAGTGCAAGAATGGGCCTTTTCTGCGTTGGCTCCCCGTTTGTGGAATGCTCTCCATAGGCAGTCTCATCTGGCACCTTTATTACATATATTTAGGTACCAGGCGAGAAAGTTTCTCTTCAACCAGGTGTTTGGCTGAGAAACACCCTGTGGCTTTTAAAATGTGTTTGTGGGAGGCGTTAGTTTTTGTCTGTGATTTATTATGTATCTTGCGTTCTTATTTTGTATTTTTCTGTTGAGAAACGCCCCGGGATCTTCAGATTAAGGGCAGGATACAAATTTTAAAAATAACCCAGTGTATGCAGCGAGGAAGGCCCGGGTTCAAGTCTACACTCAACCATTATAGCCTACCTTATAGGGCTGTTGAGATGATGAAATCGGCGGGAGGGTTGTAATATGTATGCTTCCCTGAGCTCTTTAGACTCAAGTAATAGTTAAATAACTAAGTAATAAGCAAAATTCTGAATTTTCCCACATCCACCCACTTCCTTCCTTCCTGCCCACTCACCCTATTTATGGAACACTCTTCCCAGGAATGCCCCCTTAGCACTGCCAGACAAAGAAGTTTTTGTTCTTCCGTGCATTTGGGCACCACCAACAATACATTGTAACATTAAATCCATTTTTAACCAAGTTTATGTGATTTTATTATTCTTTTTCACTTTGGTTGTAAATGGCACTGGGATACAGTGGATGCTCGAGTTGCGAACATGATCCGTGCGGGATGCACCTTCGCAACCCGCAGCATTCGCAACCTGTGTCTGCGCACGCACGGGTTGCGATTCAGCGCTTCTGTGCATGTGCAAAGGGTGATTTAGAGCTTCTGCGCATGCGTGACAGCTAAAACCCGGAAGTAACCCGTTCCAGTACTTCCATGTTTCGGCAGTCCGCAACTCGAAAAAACGCAACCTCAAGCATCTGTAACACGAGGTATGACTGTACAGTGGTGCCCCGCAAGACGAATGCCTCGCAAGACGGAAAACCCGCTAGACGAAAGGGTTTTCCGTTTTTGAGTTGCTTCGCAGGACGAATTTCCCTATGGGCTTGCTTCGCAAGACGAAAATGTCTTGCGAGTCTTGAGATTTTTTTTTCGCTTTCCCCCCCTTTATCTAAGCCGCTAAGCCTTTAATAGCCTTTTAGCAGCTAATCTGCTAAGCTGATAAGCCTTTAATAGCTGCTAAACCGCTAATAGCGCTAATCCGTTAAGCCGCTAATAGGGTTGCTTCGCAAGACGAAAAAACCGCTAGATGAAGACACTCGCGGAATGGATTAATTTCGTCTTGCGAGGCACCACTGTACTCTTTCTTTCTTTTTTTTTAAGTGGGAAGTGACATGGACATTTGACAAACCAGAGTCCATTTGGAGGAAGTGGCCCCGGGGTTACGATGTTTCTCCCCTCGAGTCAAACCAGCCTCCCATTTCTCTTGTGACAAGCTTTCCAACAATATGGCTGACCCTTCCACCCTCTGCTGTTGGAATGTTTCTGAACATGCTGAGGCACCGCAGCACCTCAAAGATGGACTGTTGTGTGCATACAGAAGTAGGCTCAAACGCTTCATCCCAGTTGGGATTTCACATGCCACAAACAGGAGCCTCTGCAGCTGAACGTGCCAAAGTGAGCCAGTGATTCTTACCATTTTTTATCTGTACACAACTGTGACATCTCCTGGCCGCCGGGAAATCTGTGGAACAAAAACCTGAGGGTGAGCGAGTGTAACGGAAGAGAAGACTGTTCAGTAAATGCGGATTTCTCATTATTGGGAAGGGGCCGGCCAGCCTGAAAAGGGGCTTACCATGAATTGCAAAGAATTCTCCTTGTGCCTGGCTGTGAAGCACTCATAAGATCATTCAATACCAACTGACCTTTAGCCATCCTTAGTTTAATCCATGTGAAGAGGTGAAGTTGAAACAGGGAGGGAGGAAACTGCCTATTCCTAAAGCATACTTTAGCTTGTGTGTGGATAAAGATGAAAAGCCTAAGAACAAAAAAATAGTCCAGTAGAGCCTTAGAGACCAACTAAGTTTGTTTTTGGTATAAGCTTTTGTGTGCACACTTCTTCAGATAAACACTTCAGTGTGTATCTTCAGTGTGTAACTGAAGAAGTGTGCATGCACACGAAAGCTTATACCTAGAACAAACTTAGTTGGTCTCTAAGGTGCTACTGGACTTTTTTTTTATTTTATTTTTGACTGAGTCAGACCAACATGGCTACCTATCTGAAGCCTAAGAACAGTTTGTGCTCGCTTTACAAGCGCTCTGGAACGCCCATTGAAGAGAGGGTTGTGAGAGCAAACCAATAAAAATGACCAGGGGAAAATAATCTGAACTGAAGTATGTTGAAAGGCCACCTGGAGGAGGGAGACTTCATATCAAGAAAGGTTACAAGATCCTAACTATGAGCGTTGATTAGAACCCAAGTGGGTTCACTAGTGGAATCACTAAATCTGAGCTCTACATGAATACAGTAAGCCCACAATGTATGTGCATATAATTTGTGTGCATTTAAGTGCTTGGCTAAATAAATAATTAGAGGACAGGCATCTGGGGGGGAAGTCACCGGCAATCCCACCCACCACAGAACCCTCAGCGTTTTGACTATATGCGATTTTGGTTTTAGGCACGATTTCTGGAACATAACCCCTCTTAAAAGTTTACTGTACATTTTAAAAAGTGTTTCTGAGATGTCAGACTTCCACAAGGCAGCAGAATCCAAAGATAAATATCTAGTTATTAAAAAAAATTAATCTGGAACCAGCTACTATACGTGAGACCTGGAATTATGCAGCATTTTTAGTGTATATTTCAGATCTATAAGTTTAGTTTGGATTTTTAACAAAGAGTAAAGTACAAAGGTTTTGAGAAGACTGACTTGTTTGCAAACTTCTTTTGAATCTCTCCCTGGGGCCCCCACCAACATTTTATTTCTGGCTACAAATAGTTTTGTCTTTTCAACCCCTGCCAATATGTGCTATTTTTCAAAAGCCTACCTTTTTTCTTATGAGGCTTTGTTGCAATTTCTTCCCAGGTGTTTGTTTCAAGGTTGTAGGCGTGGATCTTAAGCGACAGAAATAATACAATTATATATATATATATTTAATGACATAAATGGAACATGGCAATGGCTGAACTCAAGGCCTCTGCCAGCAAGTTCACCCGACAAGCCCACTCCATCACCCCACAAGAGGTTTCCAGGTTAAATAGCTAAGCGTTGGAAATTAGGCAAGAGGCTGACACTTGATTCAAGGTATCCGGGGGTATGGATTGTTGGGTTTGCAGAAAAAATGCCATGTCATCTGCCTGCTGCCGAAGGGAAACTTGAGCTGTTATAATTCTGTGCGCCTTGGCAACCTGTCAAATGGCTCTTACTGTCGGAATGTTCTTCCTGATGTTTTAAGTGAAAATCTGCTTTCTTGTAACTTCAGCAATAATAATAATAATAATAAATTTTTATTTATACCCCGCCCTTCCCGGTTCAAAAATCGGGCTCAGGGCGGCTAACAACAAATTTAAACACTTAATTATAAAAGCAGCATAAAATACAGTATAAAAACATGAATAACAATAAAATTCAAAAATCAATTTAGGGGAAATAAGCATTAGATAATCCCCAGGGCTGGCTGGCTGAATTGGTCCTACTTGGGCCAGCGAGGAGACCAGGGGAGAATTAGCTGTGGGATCCCAGAGCGGGTGATCTTCATAAAAGGGGAGGGGGAAGGAAGAGAAGGGAAGGGAAATAAAAGATCAGGCTGAATTCAAATTAAAGGCCAGGTGGAATAGCTCTGTCTTACAGGCCCGACGGAAGGAGGTTAAATCCTGAAGGGCCCTAGTCTCATAGGACAGAGCATTCCACCAGGTCGGAGCCATCACTGAGAAGGCCCTGGTCCTGGTGGAGGATAGTCTGACATCCTTAGGGCCCGGGACCTCTAAACTATGGGTATTCATGGACCTTAAGGTCCTCTGCAGGGCAGATCAGCAGAGGCGGTCCCGTAGATATGAGGGCCCTAAGCCACAAAGGGCTTTAAAGGTCAAGACCAACACCTTGAACCTGACCCTGTACTCCATTGGGAGCCAGTGCAACTGGTAAAGCACTGGGTGAATATGCTCCCATGGCAGGGACCCCGTGAGGAGCCTCGCTGCAGCATTCTGCACCCGCTGGAGTTTCAAGTCATTGGCCTTCCACTATACTTGGTTCAGGGGGCACTGCCTTATCTTTAGTTCCTGCATCTATCAGTCTGCTTGCCACCTACAGCAGTGTTTCAGCCCTTGTAAGCTGGGCTCCAGCTGCTCCTCCCACCAGATCACACCAGATCTCCTTCAGGCTGCCCAGGCTCCCTTTCATGGAGGAGGTGTCTCTCGAAGGCTATGCTCTGCTCTCTGCAGCTGGGAGGAAGCAATGCTTCTGAATGCTGGTTGCTGGAAAATACAGGAGAAGCGAGTGCTCTTGTGCTCGGATCCTGCTCTGTGGTCTTCCCATTGGGGCTTTTGCTTGGCTGTAGGATGCAGGATTAGATGGGCCACCGGCCTGATCTACAGGACCACCTCTCCTGGTATGTCCCACGGAGGACCTTACAGTCTTCAAACAAAAACATCTTGGAGGTCCCGGGCCACAGGGAGGTTAGGCTGGCCTCAACTAGGGCCAGGGCCTTTTCAGCCGTGGCCCCGATCTGGTGGAACGCTCTGTCACAAGAGACTAGGGCCCTGCGGGACTGGACATCTTTCCGCAGGGCCTGCAAGACGGAGCTGTTCCACCAGGCCTTTGGCCAAGGCACAGTCTGACCCTCTCCTTCTGTAATCCTCATAGAACTCTAGCCCAATGGTTGCCATTAATTTGATTCTGAATTGATTTTAGAATGAATTTATTTTAGAATGTATTTCAATTAATTGATTGTGATTTTATGTAAACTGTGTTACTTTTATTGTTGTTAGCTGCTCTGAGCCCGGCTTCGGTTGGGGAGGGCAGGGTATAAATAAAATTTTATTATTATGTCAATTAAATCAACAGGAACTGTGCAAAAGTGTGGCTATGTATGTCAAAGGGGGCTTGCACAGGATAAATTCATCCCAGGTTGTGCCCTACTAGAGATCCAGGTGAAACATATTAGGATTCCTAGTCTGCAAATCTTTGCAATTTTGTCTTCATGGCACCCTGGTGGACGTTTCCCCCTTGCAAGAACGATGTTCTGAGATGGAAAAAAGGGTGACCTGCCACACAATCGATCAGAGCAGTGACTGGACCCCAGTTCTCCCAAACCAATCCCAATCCCATTCACTCGATCACTCACCAATCTGCATTATGTGCCAAAAACTCAAGACCCCAACATTCTGCTATTAAAATTCACCAGTTCTGGTCACAGGCTTACTTTCTGATCTCACTAGCGAGAAATCAAACTAATAAAAAGTATTTTGGCGGTTGATCCTATTACCTTGTCCAAGGAATAGGCTGTCCAAGAAGTTCCCCCTCCTAAGATGTAAATCCTCTGCCCGTCATGTGCAATTTCATGTCTGTATCTGGAAAGACAAAGTCAAAATTATTTGTAGCTTCATCTGCCTGCTCATTTGTGTGTGTGTGTGTGTGTGTGTGTGTGTGTGTGTATGCACAACTTTCTAGCCCCTGTGGGGCATTGAGTTTTCTCAGTCTGTCAGCCAAGAATGCCACGCTACATATGAATAAGAATAAAAATAAAAATAAAAAATTATTTATACCCCCGCCCTTCTGGCCGGGCCTCCCCAGCCACTCTGGGCGGCTTCCAACCAACTATTAAAATACAATAAAACATCAAACATTAAAAGCTTCCCTAAACAGGGCTGCCTTCAGATGTCTGCTAAAACTCTGGTAGTTGTTGTTCTCTTTGACATCTGGTGGAGGGCGTTCTACAGAGCGGGTGCCACCACCGAGAAGGCCTTCTGCCTGGTTCCCTGTATAACCTGGCTTCTCGCAGTGAGGGAACCACCAGAAGGCCCTCGGAGCTGGACCTCAGTATCTGGGTAGAACGATGGGGGTGGAGATGCTCCTTCAGATATACTGGACCGAGGCCATTTAGGGCTTTAAAGGTCAGCACCAACACTTTGAATCATGCTCAGAAATGTACTGGGAGCCAATGTAGGTCTTTCAAGACGGGTGTTATGTGGTCTCGGCGGCTGCTCCCAGTCACCAGTCTAGCTGCCGCATTCTAGATTAGTTGTAGTTTCCGGGTCACCTTCAAAGGTAGAGCGCACTGCAGTAGTCCATGCGAGAGATAACCAGAGCATGCACCACTCTGGCGAGACACTCCGCCAGACATGCTAGAATTTTCATAGCAAATGTTTCCAAATTTAGGCATCCCAACTAAACCACAAAGCCCTAACAATATCTGGAGGCCAGGGGGATGTGGCTGAAGAGATGGCCAATTTTTTTGAATTGGAAATGACATTTTAATAAGAACTTGTCTATCGAGAGACTGTCATTTTGAATGAGGAAGACTTGAGGCTGGTCGCCTTGCAGCAAGTTTTACGCAGCAGGCGCCACTGAGCAAGAGGCCAAGCTCACCTTTCCTCCGGCATGTCGCAGTGCATGTTGTTTGGCTTCAGCTGGGTCCACTCCCTGGTGTTCAGGTCCAGCTTGTGCAGGTCTGTGCTGTAAATGTATCCTGTCGTGCCTCCGAATACGTACAAGGAGCCATTTATGATCGCCATCGCCTGGTAAGGGAGAAGAGGGAAGAGCTGCAGGGGAACTGAAGGGAAACCATAGGAAGGCAGCCGAAAGGCAGGTATCCTCTGAAGAGCATCCATCTCCCCCTTCCCTAGATCCCCTTTGTCACACCACTTTCGAGGGAGCAGAGCCAGGAGTGACAGTATGCCACGGACAGCACTTGGTATTGCCAGGGCAATGAAATCTGCCTGTAAGTCCGATCTCATTTTCGTGAACTGATTTGAGCTTATGGTTGAAGTGTGGTACTGAAACATTGCAATGTGTACAGACACAGGGTGGGGTAAGAGAACGGCCTCTAGCCTTGGATGTATGGAAGATGGTTGTGGTACCTATAATCGAAAAACGCTCCGTACATGCTCCAGCATATTCTATTTTTCTCTTTTATAGGGCTAAGCCATGGGTAGGCAAACTAAGGCCCAGGGGCTGGATCCGGCCCAATCGCCTTCTAAATCTGGCCCGCGGACGGTCAGGGAATCAGTGTGTTTTTACATGAGTAGAATGTGTCCTTTTATTTAAAATGCATCTCTGGGTTATTTGTGGGGCATAGGAATTCGTTCATTCCCCCCAAAAAAATATAATCCGGCCCCCCACAAGGTGTGAGGGACAGTGGACTGGCCCCCTGCTGAAAAAGTTTGCTGACCCCTGGCCTAAGCCATCAAGACCTCAGGCTCAAATTAAATTCTTATCTCTTTGACTTCGTACTATGCAATCCCCCAACGGTGCTCCAGTATACTTCATGCTCAGGAACTTGAGAACTGCTCCCCATTTTTAGACCCGAGGAGATAAGTGAGACCTGAATTAAGAGCACAAGCCTCTCAGGAATATGGAACCACTCTCTGTCCTTGAAGAGTCTAATAATAATAATAATAATAATAATAATAATAATAATAATAATATTTACATCCTGACCATCTGAATAAGGTTGCCCCAGGCACTCTGGGTGCCTCCCAACAAAATATTAAAAACACAAGAAAACATCAACCATTAAAAACTTCCCTGTACAGTAAAATAGGGGCTGCAGTGGATGACTCCCCCTGCCATACCTGTCCATAGATGCGGTTGGGCTTCTTGCCTCGACAGTTGAAGAGGGCCCAGCGCTTGTACTTGACGTTGCAGACGTGGACGTCATTGCCGTTGCTCTCGCCAAAGGGGATCCCGGTGCCGCCAAAGACCAAGAGATTATTCCCATGCAACACAACTGGCAGAAAACAAGAAAGAAGAACAAAACCTTTGACATGCAGATTTGGTAGCCTTCAACAGCAGCTTGGAACAATCGTCTTCTCTGCTGAGCTGTTCACCAGTAACCAAAAGTCTAGCGAAGGGATGGAGAGAGCCCTCTTGCCAGTGACACAGAACTAACAAGTTAGAGGTAAAGGTAAAGGGACCCCTGACCATTAGGTCCAGTCGCGGCTGACTCTGGGGTTGCGGCGCTCATCTCGCTTTACTGGCCGAGGGAGCCAGCGTACAGCTTCCGGGTCACGTGGCCAGCATGACTAAGCCGCTTCTGATGAACCAGAGCAGCGCACAGAAATGCCATTTACCTTCCCGCCGGAGCGGTACCTATTTATCTACTTGCACTTTGAGGTGCTTTTGAACTGCTAGGTTGGCAGGAGCAGGGACCGAGCAACAGGAGCTCACCCCGTCGTGGGGATTCGAACCGCCGACCTTCTGATCGGCAAGTCCTAGGCTCAGTGGTTTAACCCACAGCATCACCTGCGTTAGCGCTGGGTAAATGGGGCCTGTGCAGGTGGAGCGTGAGCAGCAGACGGGTTCATGCGCAAGCAGTATGAATGGGCATGCAAATGAACAGACAAAGCATACTAAAGGAACCCGAGCAACTCATGTTGCTTTTCAGTCAAGCACTCACACAGCAGCAAAAGGCAATAAAAGTCGCTGACACTTCCCTGCAGACCTGAATTTCACAACAGAAAGCGGACTGCACTAATGGAAAAAACCCTGCCTGCAGAGCTGTGGATGAATCATGCAAAGTACCGTATTTTTCGCTCCATAGGACGCACTTTTTCCCCTCCAAAAATGAAGGGGAAATGTGTGTGCGTCCTATGGAGCGAATGCAGGCTTTCGCTGAAGCCTGGAGAGCGAGAGGGGTCGGTGCGCACCGATGCCTCTCGCTCTCCAGGCTCCAGGAGCTATCTGCAAGCCTTGCGCACCCGGGGAGTTCCCTGGGCACTCAAGGCTTGCGGGCAGCAGCCTGCAGCGCGGAGCACGGGGCGCCCTCAGAGGACGTCCCGTGCTTCGCGCAGGTGTCCGCAAGCCTTGCGCACCCGGGATCTCCCCGGGAGCGCAAGGCTTGCGGGCGGCAGCCTGCAGCGCGGAGCACGGGGCGCCCTCGGAGGACGTCCCGTGCTCGCGCAGGTGTCCGCAAGCCTTGCGCACCCGGGATCTCCCGGGAGCGCAAGGCTTGCGGGCGGCAGCCTGCAGCGCGGAGCACGGGGCGCCCTCGGAGGACGTCCCGTGCTCGCGCAGGTACCGCAAGCCTTGCGCACCCGGGATCTCCCCGGGAGCGCAAGGCTTGCGGGCGGCAGCCTGCAGCGCGGAGCACGGGGCGCCCTGCGGAGGACGCCCTGTGCTTCACGCAGGTGTCCGCAAGCCTTGCGCGCCCGGGGGAACTCCCCCCAGGTGCGCAAGGCCTGCGGGCGGCAGCCTGCAGCGCGGAGCACGGGGCGCCCTCCGGAGGACGCCCCGTGCTTCGTGCAGGTGTCTGCAAGCCTTGCGCGCCCGGGGGGAGATCCCCCCTGGGCGCGCACGGCTTGCGGGCGGCAGCCTGCAGCGCGGAGCACGGGGCGCCCTCCGGAGGACGCCCCGTGCTTCGTGCAGGTGTCTGCAAGCCTTGCGCTCCCGGGGGAGATCCCCCGGGTGCGCAAGGCTTGCGGGCGGCAGCCTGCAGCGCGGAGCACGGGGCGCCCTCCGGAGGACGCCCCGTGCTTCGCGCAGGTGTCTGCAGCCTGCCGCCCGGCGCGTGGGGCGCCCTGAAGCAGAGCGCCCCTCACGCCGGGCAGACATCGGCCAGCCCCACAAGCTCGGGGGACAACGGGGAGGCGCAGCGCCGCCATCCCACTGTTCCCCGACCTGGTTTTGGGGGGGGGAAATCAAGGGAAAAATTTTTTCCTTTATTTCCCCCCCCAAAAAGTAGGTGCGTCCTATGGGACGGAGCGTCCTATGGAACGAAAAATACGGTACATCCACCATGAAGACTTTCCGGGGTGGGTGGGGGGGGAGAAGTAAAGAGAAAGGACAGAGCTCCAGCATTCAGCACCCCCAGCGTCCCAAGCTGTAGCAGTTCCAAAAGAAAAGGGAAGCGAGAAAGCCCCGCAAAAAAACAACCCCATGGCCACTGCTGGGGTGATGGTGGCGGTAGTGCCACACCTCTTAAGACTTTTGGTAGCCACAGCTGTGTAGCATGAATTTATCCACAATGCAGATCCTGCCAGCAACAATACAAAGCCAAGTCCTTCTTGGCATCTAAGCCTGGACTTTTATAAGACCCTATTTTAATTACAGGAGTTACAAAACGGATCTCAAAATAGCTCACTCTAATCTTACTCAATTACTGCACTTATACAGATGGGACAGATGATGATTATTAAATTTGTATACCACCCTTCATCCATAGATGTCAGGGCAGTTCACAACATGAATGCCATTAAGGTGAAGAGTTACATTTATGCTTTACTACCGCAATAATTCATTCTCCTCCACTCACGTGACATAGATGCTAACTCTCGAGGCATGTAACCCTCTGTGCCCATTTGATGCCAAGTGCCAGTAGCAAAGTTGTATCGCCAAAGCTCCCTGAAGAGTGGGTAGTCTTCATTCTCTGGCCCTCCAGACTCATCATAGTCAGGATTGTATCCGCCGAACACGTACAAGTTGGCATTGTCTGCCACACAACGGTGGCCGCTTCTAGCTGGTGGGACTCTGTGGCCTAAAGCAGAGAGACAAAATACTTTCATGAACTAAGGCGGGACAGAATATATTTTGCAAGGCTGGGTGAAGCAGCATAGAAAGATGACAAAGGAGGGAGCATCACAGTGGATAAAGTCTCAACACAAGAAAGGAAGCTGCTCCAGTTCCATCTTGGAAAAATTCCCGAGAACCCGTTTTCATTGGCGGGCATGGGAGCAGGTAAGTCATGACAGGTGTGTGTAAACAGTTTGTGTAAAAGCTACACAAGGAGATGTGGTGTTGTGGATGGTTACAGCTGATCCTCCAAACATTTCTGGCTTTCAATCATACAGTGGTACCTCAGGTTACATACGCTTCAGGTTACAGACTTCGCTAACCCAGAAATCGTACCTCGGGTTAAGAACTTTGCTTCAGGATGAGAACAGAAATCGTGCAGTGGCGGTGCGGCAGCAGCAGGAGGCCCCATTAGCTAAAGTGTTGCTTCAGGTTAAGAACAGTTTCAGGTTAAGAACGGACCTCCAGAACGTATTAAGTACTTAACCCGAGGTACCACTGTATTGGCTTGTGGGCTTCTCATATGTATCTGGTTGGCCACTTTGAGAACAGGAGTGGACAGATTATTAGCTTGATCCAGGAGGCTCTTATGAACTCTCAACATTATCTGGGAGGGGTTTTTCCACTGTGGTTTCAGTCCTTCCTAGAAGTTGGTTTACCAAAAGTTGGTGGTAGAGGTCGTCTGCTCAACATTTTTTTCCATCTGGGGTTCTATTTCAGCCCTTATGCTGAAATACGAAAATCCTGGGAGAGATCATCTGCACATACAAGGTACAGTGCCATCGGTACAGAAATAACACCGCCTCTCCTCGCTTTTCATCCCAATTCCAGAAAGGCTGCAGAGGCGCTGAATTAATGCCTGAGCTTGATAAGCGACTGCATCATACGAGTTAACAAACTAAAACTAAAGCTTAACCTTGATGGAACTGGAGCCCTTTTCAGACTGCCACCTCTCCCAGTCCGATGAACCCTGTGGCAGAGGGCCAAGATCACACTAGCTGGCCTGATTCATGGTCTCCGTGCACTCCCGAGACACGCATCCAGCAGTAACATGAAATGGGGTTGAAGTACCTTGTTCGGATGTGGTTTAGCTACATGCACATAAACCAGTATGCATTCAGGCGCCCTGTCACACTAACAAAAAAAAGTGTGGCCTCGCTAACAAAGAACATTAACGAAGAGCTAGATGTGCTGCTGGTCAAGAGAACCAATGATGCAGGGATGTAGGCACAGCCCGGTCATCATCATCATCATCACTTAGTTATACCCTGCCCATCTGACTGGGCTTCCCCAACCACTCTGGGCGGCTTCCAACAAAATATTAAAATACAGTAATGCATCAAACATTAAAAGCTTCCCTGAACAGGGCTGCCTTCAGATGTCTGCTAAAAGTCTGGTAGTTGTTGTTCTCTTTGACATCTGGTGGGAGGGCGTTCCACAGGGCGGGTACCACTACCGAGAAAGCCCTATGCCTGGTTCCCTGTATAACTTGGCTTCTCACAGTGAGAGAACCGCCAGAAGGCCCTTGGAGCTGGACCTCAGTGTCCGGGTAGAACGATGGGGGCAGAGACGCTCCTTCAGGTATACTGGACCAAGGCCGTTTAGGGCTTTAAAGTTCAACACCAACACTTTGAATTGTGGCCGGAAACGTACTGGGAGCCAATAAGGTTGTTTATGGTGTGACTGTGCTCCTAGATAGCCAGTACCAGTGATAACTGTGACCAGGAAGGAGAGCTTTTGCACATCTTAAACTAACACGCCAACTGCAACCAAACCTAGAGAGAGCAGATCCAGCTGCGGTTATGTACTTGTTACACCTAGACTTGCATTACAGTAACAAGTCTTGCATCAGACTCTCTTTGAAGGATATAACAGGACTCTAAGTGTGTTCAGTTGATGCAGGAAGCAGGAGTCAAGAGTTCTGACCAGCAAGAAGTTCCTGAAGCGTGTTGCTCCACTGCCATACCACCTGCACCGATTTTCTGATTTCTTTCCAGACCCAACCCAAAGTGCTGAGTACCATTTTTAAAGCACTGTGCAACTCTGATACTTAAAAGACTGTCTCCTCCAAGGTGAGTTCACCTGTTCACTCAGGTGATACTGACAGACTGCTCTGGCCATTCCACCATCAGAAGACTGGTTGGTGGTGGCACATGAGGGGAAAGCATTCTCTGTGGCACACACATTACGGGACTTCCTATCCTGGCTGTGTTTCAACAGCACCTGAAAAACTGGCGGTATAAGCAAGCTGGTCAATGTCCAACTTTCTTTACATTTCCCCCCTTATATACTGCACCTGATTCTTTTAAAAGTTTTAGTTGCGCTTTTGACAGTTAATGTAAGCAGGAAACAGGAAGTATATAAACATTTTAGTAACCGAAAGTGCAACTCTATGCATTCTTGGGGTAAATACCAGTGAGCACCATGGGATTTATATCCAATAAGCACGCAAGGGATCAAGCAGCAGGTTTCCAATGTAATGAACTTGGCACTGTTTTATGGGGCGGAATTAGTCACGAACGACGGGAAAGGTGCCAAAAGCTTGTGTGGCACAGTGACTAAAGCTATGAGTCAGGAAGTCCTGGTCTCACTCTGTCAGAAACTCATTAGGGGGCCTTAATCAAGCTGCTCCCTTCACCCCATGCCAGCAAAGCGGAGAAGCAACAACGCCAAGCTACCTTTCAGGGCTGCTGTTCAGGATCGGCCAAGGCGCTGTACGCAAGTTGCAACATACAGTGGTACCTGGGTTCTCAAACTTAATCCGTTCCGGAAGTCCGTTCCAAAACCAAAGCGTTCCAAAACCAAGGCACGCTTTCCCATAGAAAGAAATGCAAAATGGATTAATCCACTCCCGACTTTAAAAAACAACCCCTAAAACAACAATTTAAGATGAATTTTACTCTTTAACGAGACCACTGATGCGTAAAATAAAAACAATAATGTACTGTACCAGAAAACAAATAATACAGTATTGAAGATAACATGTACTTTACTATCTAACAAGACAATTGATCCATAAAATGAAAGCAATAAACAATGTACTGCAGTCACACAATCAATCCATCAGCGGCTGAACTGGGTTCCACACAGTCAGAAAAACAAAACAAAAAGAGCTGCAAAAACAAAAACGCGAAATAAAAAGCAAAAATAGACCTCAGCGTAACACTCAAAACGGAAGTGTGGCACTCACATCGGAAGTGTAACACTCAAAACGCAACACGTTTGACTTCCGAAAAACGTTCGCAAACTGGAACACTTACTTTCGGATTTGCAGTGTTTGGGTTCCAAGTTGTTTGAGTACCAAGGCTTTTGAGAACCAAGGTGCCACTGTATACATACACACACGAAGCTCACCCCAAGGCAGTGACTGCAGCATCAGGCGACCTTGCAGGGCTGCTGTTCGGGATTTACACATGGGGCTCCCTGCATTGTGCACGCGCAGGGCGAATGTCACCTGAGGTGGCTCCCCAAACGCCCCTCCGTAAAGCCCTTATAAGCGGATCAGACCAACGTGGCCCCAGCCCAGCAAGCTGCTTCCAACGGCGGTCAGCCGGAAGCCCCCAATCAAGCACAAGACATTCAAATTCAGCAGCACCTTCTCCATATATATATTCGGGGAGAGCACAAAATATGGTCTGAAGCTAAACATCAAAAAAACTAAGCTCATGGCCACTGGGCCCATCACCTCCTGGCAAATAGAAGGGGAAGAAATGGAGGCAGTGAGAGATTTTCCTTTCTTGGGCTCCGTGATCACTGCAGATGGTGACAGCAGCCACGAAATTAAAAGATGCCTGCTTCTCGGGAGAAAAGCAATGGCAAACCTAGACAGCGTCTTTAAAAGCAGAGACATCACCTTGCCAACAAAGTTCCGTATAGTTAAAGTTATGGTTTTCCCAGTAATGATGTATGGAAGTGAGAGCTGGACTATAAAGAAGGCTGATTGCCAAAGAATGGATGCTTCTGAATTCTGGTGCTGGAGGAGACTCTTGAGAGTCCCATGGACTGCAAGAAGAGCAAACCTCTCCATTCTGAAGGAAATCAGCCCTGAGTGCTCACTGGAAGGACAGATCCTGAAGCTGAGCCTCCAAGACTTTGGCCACCTCATGAGAAGAGGAGACTCCCTGGAAAAGACCCTGATGTTGGGAAAGATGGAGGGCACAAGGAGAAGGGGACGACAGAGGACCAGATGGTGGGACAGTGTTCTGGAAGCTACCAGCATGAGTTTGACCAAACTGCGGGAGGCAGTGGAAGACAGGAGTGCCTGGCGTGCTCTGGTCCAGGGGGTCACAAAGAGTCGGACATGACTAAACAACAACAACAACTTAAATGAAGAAAGTGGTTTTGCAGAAATGACATTAGAATGATGGAAATATATGACTGAGAAATGGTGTGTGCACAGGTGAACGATCTCTTCCTGGCTCCTTGGGCCTAAATCATGACTTCCAGTATGGCTAGAACATTGTTAGCTATAACCACTTTTTAGGTGTATACAAATATCTGAAGGGCTGTCACATGGAAGATGGAGCAAGCTTGTTTTCTGCCGCTCCAGAGGGTAGGACCCAAACCAAATTACAAAGAAAGGTGATTCTAAATAAACGTTAGGAAGAACTTTCTGAGGGCAAGAGTTGTTTGACAGTGGAATGAATGCCCTCAGAAGGTACAGTGGTACCTCGGGTTAAGTACTTAATTCGTTCTGGAGGTCCATACTTAACCTGAAACTGTTCTTAACCTGAAGCACCACTTTAGCTAATGGGGCCTCCTGCTGCTGCTGCGCCGCCAGAGCGCAGTTTCTGTTCTCATCCTGAAGCAAAGTTCTTAACCTGAAGCACTATTTCTGGGTTAGCGGAGTCTGTAACCTGAAGCGTCTGTAACCTGAAGCGTCTGTAACCCGAGGTACCACTGTAGTGGACTCTCCTTTCTTGGAGGTATTTAAGCAGAGGTTGGGTGGCCATCTCTCAGCCATGAATTCTGCGTTGAAGGGGGTTGGACTAGATGGCCCTTGGGGTCCTTTACAATTCTGTGGTTCTAAGACCGGCAACATTAAATGCCCGACGTCTGATTTCAACAGACGGGAGGGCCCGGCGTGCTCTGGTCCAGGGGGTCACGAAGAGGCGGACACGACTAAACGACAACCATTCGGGGTGGGCAGCGGGGCTCTGGCTGTGGCGCAGGCGCAGTAGCTCCCTCTCCCCCCCCCACTCACCGCCTCGGCCCGGGCCCGGCGGGAGCCTGACGAAGCGGTTGAGGAGCCCCCCGCGCGGGGCTTGAGCCGCGGGCCCGTTCCCGCCGCCGGCGCCGCGCTGCCGGTTGCCGTCCCAGCCCTCTCCGTTCCCCGCCGACATCTTGGCCCTCCTTCCTCTTCTCGGCTCCCTCACAGTCGCCCAAACGGAGCGCGACGCGAGGGGCTGGAGGAGGGGGGGCAAACAAGAGTTTCCCGCTGCCACAGCCAATAGGCGCCGGCCTTGCACAGCGCCGGCCAATCGGAGGCGCGGTTGTTGGAGCGGCTTGTGCGTGCCTGCGCGAGGAGCGGAGGGGGGGAAACAAGAGTTTCCCGCTGCCGTAGCCAATAGGCGCCGGCCTTGCACATCGCCGGCCAATCGGAGCGCGACGTGAGGGGCTGGAGGAGGGGCTTATGCGTGCCTGCGCGAGGAGCGGAGGGGAAACAAGAATTTCCCCGCTACCACAGCCAATAGGCGCCGGCCTTGCACAGCGCCGGCCAATCGGAGGCGCGGTTGTTGGGTCGGCTTGGAGGAAGAGGAGGAGAGGCGAAAGGGGTGGGTGACGTCATCATGGAAAGGAGGGGGGAGGCGGAGGCAGCCAGGCCAGAGCAATCGCTCGCAAGGTTAAGGCCTTCCGGCACAGAACGGTGAATGGGAGGAAGGCAGGAGCAATCGAAATAGGAAATAGCGGATCGACAGGCGGAAGAGACGGTTCTTCTTCGCCAGGAATCTTGGGAGTTGTAGTTCTGCAAGGGAGGGGTCCTGGGCGCTAGCGCGAAAACTATAGTTCCCAGGAGTTCTGAGGAGGTCGCGACAGTTTTAAGGGCTGCAGAAGAGAAACAAAATGAATGTTATTAGTAATACTACTACTACTACTAATAATAATAAATTCATATTCCGCCCATCTGGCTGGGTTTCCCAAAGCATCAAGCATTAAAAAAAACAAGATATCCTATCAAGCAACATATAAACCAATAAAGCAGTGAAAAGCAGTAACAAGAGCAAGAATGAGCAGTTCATGGTTATACCCAAATCAAGGTAACCGCCAGCCCCAACCGAACATTTAAGCGACAAAAATGAAACGAGAGGAACCAAAATTAGGGAGGGAAAACACTGCTGTACTTTTGCATCCTCCCTGCCTTTCCTTCGAGGAAATAAAGGCAGCAAGACGTGGGTCTCCTCTCTGCCGCCGTTTTGGCCTCACAACAACCCTGTGAGGTAGGCTAGGCGGTGTCTGCGCTAAAGCTCAGCCAATGAAACTCATGGTCAAGTGACAACTTGAACTAAGCAGGATCCCCCTGCTTAGCTTAACACTCTAACCACTACACCACACTGCCTTGCAGCACAGGAAGGTGCCTTTTCTGACAGTAAGAGCTGTCCGACAGTGGAACGGTCTCCCTCTGGAGGTGGTGGACTCGCCTTCCTTGGAGGTTTTTAAGCAGAGGTTGGGTGGCCAGCTGCCATGGATGCTTAACTGAGATTCCTGCATTGAAGGGGGTTGGGCTAGATGACCTTTGGGGGTCCCTTCCAACTCTATGATTCTATGATGGGCTGCACTGGGCCTGATGGGAGTTGGAATCCATCGGCATCTGAAGGGCTGCAGGTTCCCTGTGTCCCATTTAGAATGCTGTATCATTTTACTGTTGTTAGCCGCTCTGAGCCTGGCTTCGGCTGGGGAGGGAGGGATATGAAGAAAATATTTTTATTACTAAAGGTAAAGGGACCCCTGTCCATTAGGTCCAGTCGCGGACGACTCTGGGGTTGCGGCGCTCATCTCGCTTTATTGGCCGAGGGCACCAGCGTACAGTTTCCGGGTCATGTGGCCAGCATGACTGAGCCGCTTCTGGCGAACCACAGCAGCACACGGAAACGCCGTTTACCTTCCCGCCAGAGCGGTACCTATTTATCTACTTGCACTTTGAAGTGCTTTCGAACTGCTGGGTTTGCAGGAGCTGGGACTGAGCGACGGGAGCTCACCCCGTCGCGGGGATTCAAACCACCGACCTTCTGATCAGCAAGCCCTAGGCTCTGTGGTTTAACCCACAGCGCCACCCGTGCCCCCATTTATTATTATTAAACCCCATTTTTTTGTCCTGCTGCACTTTCTCGGCGGAGGGTGGCTGCTAACCAGGGGAGAAGGTGATTGCTGCCGTTTGCTTGGCCGTTCCACTCCCTTCGAGACAAGACTTGTGCAGAAGTCCCAGCAAAGGAAGTATGGATACAAAAACTTATGGAATACAGTATGCAGAAATGACGAAATGTCCCGGAAGAATGAGAACTCAAGATAGCAATCTTTTTATAAAAGGATGGAAATGGTTTATTGAGTAATTGTAAACAGATAAAAACATTACCAGGATTATTGTAATAACCTGCAGTTTTATAAGAGTATAGATTTAAAGTAGATGAATAAATGAACAAGCTAAGTTCATTTGGATATGCAGAAGATATTAACAATAAATTTAAGGAACAGCAGAAAAGAGGGGGAAGGAAGTTCGAATTTTTGAAATGTTAAAATGATTGTAAAACCAGTGAAATATATAAACCTGAAAAGCATAAATAAAGAGAGAGAGAGAGAGATCAGCCTTGCTGGTAGCAATGGGCGCGGAACCGAATTTCCCCGGAACCAATTTTGCTTTGCCACCTTGAGGAGGCGCGGCGGAAGCTTTATAGCGAGGGACCAAGATGGCGGCGCCCAGCGCTACGGCAGCTGCCGCTGCTGCCCCGGCGAACGAGGATGGCGATTCGGGGGGCAAGACGAAGTCGCCGGCCATCACGCCGCAGAAGATACGGGAGCTGATCGATGAGGGGATCGCTCCGGAGGAAAGCAGCCCGGAAGGGTGAGCGGGGAGGGGAGAGGAGCAGCCCAAGCCCGACGGCCCCGTCCGCACCTAGAAACGGCCTGCGCGGCATCCGAGGCGGCTTTCGTGCCGGAGGACCTCGCCTTCCCCTCGGGGCTGCAGGCCAGACGGCGACGGGCAAGCGGGATCCCAGGGCTGAGGGGAAGGAAGGGGTCCGGGATTGCACAGGATAGAGAAACCTGGATTTGTTCAATGCATTTATACATCCTGCCTGCTTTCCTCCATGGTTCTCTCCTTCTTCCTCCCCATTTTTATCCTTGCAACAATTCTGTGAGGCGGGGTTAAAGATGAACCGTCCTGTGGGAATATTTTATTGTTGTTGTTGTTGTTGTTATTATGAATGAATTTATTAATACGGTCACAGACCAGCGTCAACACACTATCACAGATCATTAAAAAAAATATATCAGAAATACAGAGGACAATATAAATATAACAAGGATTTAAATATAAAAAATTAAAGTTAATTATTAGCGTGCCCCCTATAATTAACATTTGGGGGTTTGGTCATTATGGGATACCACTTGCTTCCTGCGATTAATTGCAGACGCACAGAATTTGGCTACATTTAATGTAGTCTTGGGATTCTTGTCCTCTAACAGTAATTTTAAACTATGGTGTTCCGATTCTTTCCTGGACTTTTGCAAAACAGGTGTAATAAAGGTCAAACGTATATCCTCATAAAAACGACAACATAATAGTACATGTGAAGCAGTTTCAACTTCCAACGAGCCACAAGGGCAGACCCGTGCTGTGTATGGTTTACCCTCAAATCTGCCCGTTGTTATTATTATTATTATTATTATTATTTATACCCCGCCCATCTGGCTGGGTTTCCCCAGCCACTCTGGGCGGCTTCCAACAGAATATTAAACTACAATAACCTATTAAACATTAAAAGCTTCCCTAAACAAGGCTGCCTTCAGATCATAGCTGTCAACCTTCCCTTTTTTTGCGGGAAATTCCCTTATTCCAGCACCGTTTCCCACTGCTTCCCGCTGCTATCCTGGACTGTTATATATCCCGTAGACTGTTCCCGGGACAGGTGAGGCTGCTGATCCCTTATTTTCAAATCTGAAAGTTGACAGCTATGCTTCAGATGTCTTCTAAAAGTCTGGTAGTTGTTGTCCTCTTTGACATCTGGTGGGAGGGCGTTCCACAGGCGCCACCACCAAAAAGCCCCTCTGCCTGGTTCCCTGTAACTTGGCTTCTCACAGTGAGGGAACCGCCAGAAGGCCCTCAGCACTGGACTTCACTGGGAAGAACTACCCCCCTTGATCAAAGGGAAAACAGGAACATCCTGGGCATTATTCTGTTTCCAGCTGCTAGCTTAGGGGATGCCCACAGAGCAGGGCAGGTGTCCCCCGTTTTCTGCTCCCAGGACAGCTGTGGACTTAACATGTGGATGATAATGCTTTAGTTTGTATCGGGTGGGGAACCTTTTTCAGCCTGAGGGCAGCATTCCCTTCTAGGCCAGGTGTGCTGGCGTGGATGCTTGTTCCAGCAGTTGTCACCAAAGCAGCAGCTGCCTGTAAAAAGCAGTGTTACAAGCTGCTACAATGCTACCCTACCTCAGTTCCCAACTGCTTCCGACTTCTGCTCATGCTAATATATTGTCATAAGTGTGAGGAAATAAATGGGAATAATTTTTTATTTTTTAAAAAACCCTGTGCGTGACCATGTTAATCGTGTGCCATTTGGTATGTTTGTATGGAAATTGAAAGATATTCTGAGTACTGACTGTGAAGATTGAATGGTTTTAACACATTTGATCCTGTGCTTTGCACTGTCATTGAGGTACAGTGGTACCTTGGTTTGCATACGTCTTGGTCTGCACACGTTTTGGATAACAAACATGTGAAACCCGGAAGTGCGTGCCCAGGTTTGCAAACTTCTTTTGGATTACAACCCTTTTTTTATTATTATTACGAACAAACTTTTTTGGGAGGCCGCATTGGCGAAAGTGCGCCTTGGGTTACAATCTGTTTTGGTTTACAAACAGACCTCCGGAACGGATTATGGTTGTAAACCAAGGTACCACTGTATATTGGTTCAGTGGGCCAAGATTGCTGATCTTCAACTGTTCAATTGTCGAAGCTTTATTTTGGTCTGGGTGGAGACATATTTGAGCTGATGAAAGACAGGAGTGAAATCGGTTCTTGCTGCTACCATGAACAGAAAATTGTCTTACTTTATTACCTCTTCCCTACATTTCAGAAAGGATTCGTCTGCTTTCCCTGAAGTAGCAAATGGATCTCCCCAGATTGACGAGCTGCCTTTTGAGGCCACCAGTAAAGAAGCCTACTTCAGCAGAGTGGAAACATTTACCATATCCTTTTCCCCTTGTTTCTGAGACAACTATATCGAGCAACTCCCCAGTAGTCAAGAGCAATATCAGCCACTGGGAATTTCCCCATTTTGTAATTTGGAAACTGCCAAATAGTGGGGATTCATAACAAGTCAAAATTGGGCATGTTCTGTAGGTCAGGTGAGTGAAGGTCTAAGTGAGAAGACAGTTCAGCAGTAGGGTGAGAATTGGGCTCAGAAAGGCAGAGGCTGGAAAACATACTGTATTTTTCGCTCTATAAGACGCACCAGACCACAAGACGCACCTAGTTTTTGGAGGAGGAAAACAAGAAAAAAAATATTCTGAATCTCAGAAGCCAGAACAGCAAGAGGGATCGCTGCGCAGTGAAAGCAGCAATCCCTCTTGCTGTTCTGGCTTCTGGAATAGCTGCGCAGCCTGCATTCGCTCCATAAGGCGCACACACATTTCCCCTTACTTTTCAGGAGGGAAAAAGTGAGTCTTATAGAGCAAAAAATACGGTACTTCTAATGGGGAAGTTCTGGCATTTCATACTCATAGATGGAACTGGGACTGGTCCCACCTGAAAAAAATAGCTTATGTAGATTGGTTCTTCTGACTTGCAGACAATTTTATTTATTTTATTTTATTTATCCCCCGCTAAGACCGGGCTCAGGGCGGCTAACATCAGGTATAAAAACAATTGATTAAAATACAACTTAAAAACAAGATTAAAATACTGTTTAAAATGCAGCCTCATTTCAGTGGAAGCCCAGATCAAAAACTGTTTGCTGGGAGAAAACGTCAAATCTTCACCAAGGCCAACTATCCAGACTGGTCCTACGTGGGCCAGAAAAGCCAGGGAAGTCCCCAAATAGGGGTTCCATCACAGAAGGAAAAGGACCTGGAGGTGCTTTAGACAGCTGAGAAAGTTGGACAAAGTTTTAAATTCCATGGTAGGCCCTCGGAAGAGGAAACCTTTATCCTAAGCATAAGAAGTTGAGCTCCTTAACGCAAGCACTCCCTTAAGTGGGCAGGCAAACCCCACGAGTTGTCTCCTCTGATTTGTGCCAAGTATGGATGGACCAATATCGAGTGCGATATGTTGAAGTGTGCCAGCTGCCAGGCCTACCTCTGTGCCAGTCTACAGCTGGCTTTCGACTTCAGCAAGTGTAAGTGCCTTAGAGCCTCAAATCCTGACAGGGCCCAGTCTGTTAAAATCCAAAGGCAACCCTATGTAACAATTTGCACAATCTGTGATTTTCTTGGGCAACTGTGGAATGTGGACAGCTGTGAAAAAAGGCAAATTCAATGCTAGAGATCATTAGGAAATGAATTCCGGGGAGGGGCACACATTGCTTCCATGATGAGGGACTGGAATGCTTCTTAATACCAGTTGCTGGAAACTGCATGAAAAGTCTCCTACCAGCATCTCATTGGCTGCTCTTAGAACATGACGCTGGATTAGATGCACCATCAACCTGATCCATTGTGTTCTTCTTATGTTTAAGAACTCCCATCAGTCTTAAACAGCATGGTCAATGATCAGAGATGATTGGAGCTATAGTGCAACAACATCTGGAAGTCCAAAGGTTCCCAGTCTGTGATTTATAGCATTTTCTTTACCCCTGCGCCTCTCATTTTGCTCCGCCCTGTTGGAATGGCTTCAGCTAGGTGATAGTTGCGATCCCTAGTGAGTTCATGATGTGGGCAAGATTTGAATTAGAGGACTTCCCAGCCACCACTGTGCACCAGTTCCTGTTTGTCCCTAGCAATTAATAATAATAATAATAAATTTTTATTCATACCCCGCCCTTCCCTGTTCAGAAAACCGGGCTCAGGGCGGCTAGCAACAGATTTAAAACACTTAATTGATGCAACAAAAAAGAGCATAAAATACAGTATAAAACGTGAATAACAATAAATTCAGAATCCAAAAATCAATTTAGGGGGGGAAATCCATCCAATAAACATTAGATGATCACCAGGGCTAGCTGGCTAAATTAGTCCTATTTGGGCTAGCAAGGAGACCAGGGGAGAATTAGCTGTGGGATCCCAGAGTGGGTAATCTTCATAAAAAGAGGAGGGGGAGGGAAGGGATTAGTCTGGAAGCACCTGCTGTTGTGGCAATGATGGCACTCAGTGAGTATGGACTTGGTCAACCCCTCAGAGAGAGTCCCATGTAAGAGCAGGTTATCAGCATAAAAAGCATTTGAACGAAACACTTGAGTTTGCCTGATGTGAGCTGCCGTCTGAAACAGTTGGGGAGGTGTCAGGTTCGGGACAGCTATTGAATGGGCGTGGTTACTTTAATAATAATGATAATAAGAAATTATTTATATCCCGCCCTCCCCAGCTGAAGCCGGGTTCAGAGCGGTTAACAACAGTAAAATGATAAAACATTCTAAAATCATTTCATTATAAAATTAATTCAACTCAAATTGATGGCAACCGTTAGGCTAAAGTTCTATGTGGATTACAGAAGGAGGGGGTCAGACTGAGTCCAGACCAAAGGCCTGGTGGAACAGCTCTGTCTTGCAGGCCCTGCGGAAAGATGTCAAGTCCCACAGGGCCCTAGTCTCTTGTGACAGGGCGTTCCACCAGATTGGGACCACGGCGAAAAAGCCCTGGCTCTAGTTGAGGCCAGCCTAACCTCTCTGTGGCCTGGGACTTTCAGCATGTTTTTATTTGAAGACCGTAAGTTCCTCTGTGGGTCATACCAGGAGAGGCGGTCCCGTAGGTACAAGGGTCCTAGGCCGTATAGGGCTTTAAAGGTTAAAACCAGCACCTTAATCCTGATCCTGTACTCCACCAGGAGCCAGTGCAGCTGGTATAGCACCGGGTGAATGTGATCTCGCAGCGAAGCACCCAGTAAGGAGTCTCGCCGCTGCATTCTGCACCTGCTGGAGTTTCTGGGTCAGTCTCAAGGGCAGCCCCACGTAGAGCGAGTTACAATAATCCAGTCTGCAGGTGACCGTCGCGTGGATCACAGTGGCTAGGTCAGGGCGAGAGAGATAAGGGGCCAACTGCTTAGCTTGGCGGAGATGAAAAAATGCCGCCTTTGTTATAGCTGCAATCTGCGCCTCCATGGAAAGGGAGGTGTCGAAGATTATACCCAAACTCTTAACGGACGGTGCTGGCACTAATTGGGCCCCCGCAAGAGATGGGAGTTGCCCCCCCAATCCCATATTGTCCCGACCCAGCCAGAGGACCTCTGTCTTCAAAGGATTTAATTTCAACCGGCTCCCACGTAACCATCCAGCCACAGCTTCCAGACATCTGGTCAGTGTGTCTGGGGCCGAGTCAGGATGGCCATCCATCAACAGATAGAGTTGGGTGTCGTCAGCATATTGATGGCAGCCCAGCCCCAAACTCCGGACAAGCTGGGCGAGGGGGCGCATAAAGATGTTGAAAAGCATCGGGGAGAGTATCGCACCCTGAGGCACTCCACACACCAAGGTGTGGCGCGATGACAATTCCCCCCCAAGCGCCACCCTCTGTCCCTGACCTTTGTCACTTAACCGGTTTGAAAGGATTTTTCAAAGTGGCTCCTTTCCTCGGGAGACCTGGCATTCAGGAGGTATGTTTGCTTTCCAGACAAAGAGAGGTGCGTGGAGCTGAGGAAGGCTTTGTCAGCAGCTCACGAGAAGTTCTGCTTCTGGCCTGACAGCCCCTGCCCAGGTAAGCAGTGAGACGCTTTGCTGATGGTGAGAAAAAGGAGCGAGATCCTGCCAACAGGCGAAAACGTGTTTATTCTCCCAGGCATTTAGGCCATCAATAATGGTCTGCATTTGGGTGAATGCTTTTTGGTGTTCTGTCTTAAGCTGGTAAAGGTAAAGGGACCCCTGACCATTAGGTCCAGTTGTGGCCGACTCTGGGGTTGCGGCGCTCATTTTGCTTTACAGGCCAAGGGAGCCAGCGTTTATCCGCAGACAGCTTCCAGGTCATGTGGCCAGCATGACTAAGCCGCTTCTGGCGAACCAGAGCAGAGCACGGAAATGCTGTTTACCTTCCCACTGGAGCAGTACCTATTTATCTACTTGCACTTTGACGTGCTTTTGAACTGCTAGGTTGGCAGGAGCAGGGACCGAGCAACGGGAGCTCACCCCGTCACAGGGATTCGAACCGCCAACCTTCTGATTGGCAAGTCCTAGGCTCTGTGGTTTAACCCACAGCGGCTCCCGCGTCCCCTTAAGCTGGTAGTTTGGTTATTTTATCTTTTGGGGTGATTTCTGTGGATGAACACTTTAGTGTGTACGTGTGTGTATGTGTGTGTGTGTGCAAGCGTGCAATGTTTTAAAGGATCTTTTATTGTACACCATTTTGTGCTGGGGTTCTGTTCCTGGGCCCCAGTGTGCATTGGTGGGGCACATATAAACCCACCCCTGTTCTGCCCTCTTCCGGGTCCAAACGGACCCGTGCATCAGCAGTTGTGTGACAATTGGGACACACGCAAAATAGTCTCTGCCTGTCAATTGCCCTTGTCGATCGCTTTGTGGTTTCTTTTTTTCTCTCCAATTTTTTAAAATTAATTTTTCCACAATTATAACACTTATAACCTAACAAAAAACAAAAACAGAAAAGAAAGAAAAAACATACCAAAGGAAAAACCAGTACAGTACATTACAAGAGAAACATAACCAGAACCACAACATAAAAAAAGAAAAGAAAAATAATCTTAATCCCTTAAAACCCAACCTTGTTTACATATTAATTGACTTTCTCTACTCCCTCCCTTCTGAGTTTCCTTGTATTTAAATGTAACAGCTTTCCAATATCATTATTAAACAACAATATTCCAATTATAATCAAATTTATTCACTTTTCTTACTGTTCTAAGTCCCATTTATTTAATTAGATCCTAATTTAATCCTAGGCCTATTTGGTACTTTCAAGTCATTTCTAATTTTTTATATTGCAATATTTATTCAAATAGTCCTTACATTTCCTCCAATCTTCTTGATATTCCTCTTCTCTCTGGTCACGGATTCTTCCAGTCAGGTCAGCTAGCTCGGAAAAGCCCATCATCTTCATCTGCCAATCTTCCACTGTTGGTAATTCTTGTGTTTTCCAATTTTTGGCTAGTGAAATTCGAGCAGCCGTTGTGGCATACAAAAATAATTTAACATCTTTCTTGAGCAGTTCCAAACCTGTTATTCCAAGAAGAAAGGCCTCTGGTTTCTTAACAAATGTATATTTCAACATTTTTTTCAGTTCATTATAAATCTTCTCCCAGAAGTCCACCACACGCTTTGTGATTTCTTCTGGCTGTGTAAAGTCATGCATAAATTTAGGGGTGGGGGACCTCAGGCCTCGTGGCAGAATGTGGCCCTCTATGCCTCTCTATTTGGCCCTTGGGACTTCTCCCCAAGCCACACCTCTCTCCCATCCTTGCTCCACCCCTTCCTCAAGTGTATTTTGCCTAATTGGAAGGTAAGGTTGTTTTTTTTTAATGATATTCATTGAAATTTTTTTTAAAAAAATTACACAAAAAAAGACAAGACAGAAAAATAAAAAATAAAACCATCATTCTCAAATTCTCCACTTTCAATACCTTCTTTCTTTGACCTCCTCCTCCTCCCTTTTCTTGTATCCTGATTAATAATAATCGCAGCAAATCCTTTCCATAATTCATAGTATTCTGTCATTACATTACCTTAATCTATTTTCATCTTATCTTATAGAAAACCTTAAAGTTTACAACTTAAATCTTATTTTTACCAACTTCTCCTAGCCATAACATTCTTACCAAATTCTTTAGACATTTTTACAAGAGCCAAGTAATTTCATTTCAACATTTTTCTAGCATTCATCAATTTTATAGAACAATCCTAATGATAAAAAAAAAGAAATAAACAATCCAATCTTCATCCAGCATCCCTTCCTCCTGGTCCCGGGTTTTGTCAGTCCTTTTTATCCTATTAATCTAGCACATTAACCTGGTAATCTTATATCCGAGGCCCTCAAGTCTCTTCCATGTCCCTTCCGCAGCTCTTCTTCATATTTTCCTTTCATTCGTGGGAACTCCAGCTTGGTAATATTTTTGACCCTTTTCAACAAATCAGCCCCTTTTCCATAGTCCAGACTAGACTCCATGTGGTATTTAAAAACATGTTTCAGATTCCCTCCAAAATTGAGAGCCCCCACAGCTCCAAACATCTGACGGCCCATTGCCAGACTCGAAAAGTCCAAATCTCCCTGTATGGGGGGGGGGGGTCTGTCCAACCCCCCATTTCCAAACCAAACCAAACTTTATCTTTCCAAGTCTGGTTTTTTCCAAGTTCATTTGTCAAATCCAAAAATTTATGTTCCTGCTGGGCCGCAGCTCCCTCCGTCTCTGGCGCCCAAGATTCAACAGCATCCTCTTCTCTCAGCTGTTCTGTCATGGCACACTCCTGTTTTAACTCCTGGGTGGGCTCCATATAATTTCCCACTACCTGTTCAAAGGTTCTGGCCGCATTATTCATCAAATCCGTCTTCTGGCTTAACTGATCCAATAGGGCATTTATTTTGCAGAGAGCACCCAACAGTGCTTCTGAAGACATTGTCCTGCAAGGTCACAAATCCTTTCCCACGGTTGTAATCTGTGGCAGCTGCAAGCTCCCAGGAATTAGTTACAATTTCACAGTCCCCCTCTAGGGGGAAATCTTCTGGTTGTTCTTTCTTTTAAAAACAATAGCAACAAAGTTTCTTTTTTAAGGTATTTTGTCCATATTTGTTCTTTTTAAAATGCGAAAGGAAACAATGGAATCACTATGTTTCTCTTCTTTTAACTATCTGTCAAAGACATTTGTTTCTGGTCAATGAGCTTCAAACGTCAATTCTGACACCCCGCTCCAGGATCAGGACGGTGGAAAATTACTTTGCTTTAAACTCACTTCTGCAGGTTTAAACAGCCCAAAAAAGATCCCCCTTCTTCTCCTGCTGCCGAAGGGGGGTTCAGCGATTTTAAATGATGAAAGCCAATCCTTTGAAAGTGATTTTTAAAGCTCTAGTTTACGTTGTCTTTGCTTTATTCTGGCTACAAGGAAACGGAAGGCTGACTTCCTGTTTAGACCTTCCCGTTTCAGTACCAAATTAAGGTAAATTTTTAAGTCCAAATTCCTTTCTATTTCGCCAGTTCTTATTTAAAGTCCAAATGTTCAATGTTCCAGTACTCACGGGTGGTTATTTTAGATGCCAAATTGTCCCAGGAAAAGGCAGCGCTCTCCGGCAACGGCTATGCGGCTTCGCTCCGCAGAAAAGCAATTGACTCACAGCACCGCGCCACTTCCCCCTCTTCGCTTCGGAGCCCGTTAGTGGGTTCCTTTGCGGGTTGGGGGGGCGCTAAGGGTGCCCGCCGAGTCCCACGGTCACAGGCTTCATCCGCCTGTGATTTCCAGAAGGGTCCCCGCTTCGCCGTAGCGGAAAAGACCCGTTTCATGCGGAGCTAGTCCCTCCAATTCAGAGGGAGTCCGCCATTGCCGGTGGCGCCACCCCGGAAGTCCTTGGACGGTAAGTTTTGTGTGTGTGTGTGTGTGTGTAGGAGTGGTGCAGGAAAAACAACTTGCTCCTTAACTTAAAGAAAACAAAAGAGATCATTGTGGACTTTAGGAAATGTAAATTGAACATTCAGCCACTTATTATTGAGGGGAAGTGCATGGAACAGGTCTTGGTGTTTTGATTCCTGGCAATGGAGTTTAGAGATGCCCTAACCTGGGGAGAAAACAGCAAAGACCTGATGAAGAGAGCACAGCAGAGGTTATATTTCCTGAGAATCCTCCGGAAAAATAATCTTTCAAAGGACCTGTTGATGGCATTTTACCATTGTACCGTGCAGAGTGTATTAACTTATGGTCTGTGTGTGTGGTTTGGGAGCTGCACAGCCAGGGAAAAAACAACGCTGTCCAGGGCTGTAAAGACTGCGGAGAGAATAATTGGGTGCCCTCTTCCCACCTTGGATCAAATCTATGCTTCCAGGTGCCATAAGAAAGCGGCAGAGATAGCGCAGGATATTGAGCACCCCAGAAATGATCTCTTTCAGCTTCTGCCTTCTGGAAGAAGGTATAGAGAGAAACTGAGAAACAGTTTCTACGCAAATGCAATTCTGGTTCTAAACGCAGCATAAGGGGTCTCTATAGTATAGTGTATTTTAAAATGGGGTTTCAGAGTTTTTAGGGGGGGTTGAATGTTTTATGGAGTTTTGTAGTAGTTTTAAGTAGTTTTACGTAGTTTTTCAATTTCATTGTTCTGCATGGGACAATGACAATAAAGATATCGTATATTGTATATGGTATCTTATATCGTGTGTGTGTGTGTGTGTGTAGAAACCTCTGGTTTTTGTATGACTGGAATAACCAGGTGGGTCCAGGGAATGATCAGTACTTCACTGGAGGAGTGGGACCTACTTTCTGCTTTCAATGAGCAAACAAAAATCTAAAAGCAAAGAGGTTTTTCCCAGCCCGGCTACCTGAGATGTTTAAATACGAGAGGCCCAGGAATGAACTTCAGCCCTTCTGTGTGCAGATCAGGAGCTCTGTCACTGAAGCTACAGATAATTGCTCAAAAGATAGAAGTTCGTGCTGCTGCCCAGTATTTGAATTTGAACCTATGCCTCTGCTTGCACAAGTTGAGGGCAATTGCTAATTTTGCAGAGGTGATTGGGACACATTATTGTGTTCCCTGCAGGACCTGGCACTTGTGAGAATTCTAGATATAAGAGAAAGTATGTGTGGCATCTGGGGCGTGGGTGGCGCTGTGGGTTAAACCACAGAGCCTAGGACTTACCGATCAGAAGGTTGGTGGTTCGAATCCCCGCGACAGGGTGAGCTCCCGTTGCTCGGTCCCTGCTCCTGTCCACCTAGCAGTTCAAAAGCACATCAGAGTGCAAGTAGATAAATAGGTACTGCTCTGGCGGGAAGGTAAACGGCATTTCCGTGCGCTGCTCTGGTTCGCCAGAAGCGGCTTCGTCATACTGGCCACATGACCCGGAAGCTGTACGCCGGCTCCCTCAGCCAGTAAAGCGAGATGAGCGCCGCAACCCCAGAGTCGGTCACGACTGGACCCTGGTAAAGGTCAGGGGTCCCTTTACCTTTACCTTATGTGTGGCATGACTGAAAGCCTGAAAGGGAGCCAATGGGAAATGGCCAGAGAAGATTTCCCCATGGCTTTTGAGCATGCTGGAAGAAGTCATGAGAGGAGAAGGGTGGCGTCTGACCTGAAACTTGATTAAATGAGTCGCCACTGTCAAGCATTTTTGTTGACTGCTCTGCCTGCCCCACTGTTTGTTGGCCAGCTGTTCTTCAGACTGCTGTTTCTTCTGCCTTTTGATTAGATCGCTTTTCTGTCTTGCTGGTCGACGAGCCCCTTGCGCTTTTCAGCGACTTCCTGGAGCGCTTTCAGAGCCTCTGCCAGTTAGAACTTCAGCTGCCCACTCTGAAATCAGAAGATCTCAAAAGCATGGTAAGACTTCTCAAGTGGCCTGCGACCCTGCCAGGGGTAGTGAGCCAAGCAGAGGGGAGAGTCCATGGGGTAAAGGACTCAAGCATCAATCTGAATTTTTAAATGAGGGACACTTGACCTATAACTCACCAGCTGGAGGTGATCTAACAAAATTCAAGCTTGCAACCCTCAGACGGGGTTTTAAAAAGGAGCCAAGACGTAGCCATGCCTTGAATGTCTGAGCTCAGTCCAGGAAGCATGAATTGTTGTTGTTGTTTAGTCGTTTAGTCGTGTCTGACTCTTCGTGACCCCCTGGACCAGAGCACGCCAAGCACTCCTGTCTTCCACTGCCTCCCGCAGTTTGGTCAAACTCATGCTGGTCTCTTCAAGAACACTGTCCCACCATCTCGTTCTCTGTCGTCCCCCTCTCCTTGTGCCCTCCATCTTGCCCAACATCAGGGTCTTTTCCAAGGAGTCTTCTCATGAGGTGGCCAAAGTCTTGGAGCCTCAGCTTCAGGATCTGTCCTTCCAGTGAGCACTCAGGGCTGATTTCCTTCAGAATGGAGAGGTTTGATCTTCTTGCAGTCCATGGGACTCTCAAGAGTCTCCTCCAGCATCATAATTCAAAAGCATCCATTCTTCGGCGATCAGCCTTCTTTATGGTCCAGCTCTCACTTCCATACATCACTACTGGGAAAACCAGAGCTTTTACTATACAGACCTTTGTTGGCAAGGTGATGTCTATAGGGGAGCGTAACTCGTTTGGTGAGGGGGCACCAGATTTTGCCATCTCACAGGGCGCCACTGAAATTTGAGGCACCAAGGTCCGCCACTGCCCTGCTGGCACACGTTCATTGGTGATGCTGTACGGGGCTGCTGGGAGTTGGTGGTCCGCAACATCTGGGAGGCAGCAGGTTGGGGAATAATAATAATAATAATAATAATAATAATAATAATTCATTATTTATACCCCGCCCATCTGGCTAGGTTTCCCCAGCCACTCTGGGCGGCTTCTAACAGAATATTAAAATACTAAAACCTATTAAACATTAAAAGCTTCCCTGAACAGGGCTGCCTTCAGATGTCTTCTAAAAGTATGGTAGTTTTTTTTCTCTTTGACATCTGATGGGAGGGCGTGCCACAGGGCGGGCGCGACTGCCGAGAAGGCCCTCTGCCTGGTTCCCTGTAACTTGGCTTCTCGCAGCGAGGGAACCGCCAGAAGGCCCTTGGCGCTGGACCTCGGTGTCTGGGCAGAACGATGGGGGTGGAGACGCTCCTTCAGGTATACTGGGCCGAGGCCGTTTAGGGCTTTAAAGGTCAGCACCAACACTTTGAATTGTGCTCGGAAACGGACTGGGAGCCAAAGGCAAATGGGGCTTCCTGTGACTCATTGCCAAGTCAGCTGGGGCCAGGCAGGGCTCTGGGAGCGAGTCCTGATGGAGGGAACCCAAATTCTCGATTCCTCGTCCCTCCCAAAGAGGTGGAGGGTGAGCTTAGATTATCAGAGATCCCCACATTGATTTGTTGCTGTTGTTTTCTGGATCCTGTTGTAATTGCTTGCAATGAAACCTTCCTGGCTTATATTTCCCTTCACTTACTTGAAAGCAGAGAGGCGGAACTGCAAGGCTGCTACTTCCCCATCCCTAGGCTGAAGGGGTTAGTTATATCCAACGTAGTGCAAAGGAACACATTCCATTTGTGCAAGGATTTCCACCTATGCAATGAAACTTGCACACCTACTAAATCTGGGGGGTCGTCTAATCCTCTGTAGCAGATTTGGGAAGAGTGCAAGTTGCAGGCGAGTTCCATGTGCGAATGGAAAACCTTACACTTGGGTCTTAGATGGGTGCCACCCAAGGTCTCAAAATCTCATGGAACATTGAAAGCTGCCTTCTACCAGGTCCAACTCTTTGTTCTCCCAGCCTTGGATTTTCCACCTGGGGGGGAGAGAGGCTGCCACTGGGGACTAAAGGAGAGTGACGTCTCTCTGACCCAACCTCTTTTCCATGAAGGCCTGTTGGCATTTTCTCTTCCTTCCTTTCTGGAGCTCCTGCATGAAACTGGAGAGATCTCTGCTCCCCAGTTCACTTTGGGATGTGTAGTGATCAGGTGGGATTGCTATGAGGAATTAAAACAAATATAGAGTAAGCCATCTGTGTCAGCAATGAAAGCATTGCGTTGACTGGGTTTAAACTATTTTGATATGATTCTTGATCAATCTACACCTCTGCATCCCTGTTCCATTTCTCTTTCTTCACTAGTCACGTACACAGCCCAGTTGCTTCGCCAGGCAGGCTCCTGGGCCATAAAGGTAGTGGGCAAGTTTCTTTGAAGTAGCCTTTCTGATATGTTAATCCCAGGATGTTAATCTTAGGGCCAGGAAACAGATCTCATATGAAGGTGATAGATCGCTGTCCTCCTAGCCATCCTTCTTATCATGTATATTGCTTGTTTATCACCTCCTGGGGTTGCCAAATGCTCTCCTTTGTAGTTCTGTTCTTTGTTTACCCCAGAAATATGTGTGCTTAATTAGTTTTGGTAGTTTAACTTTTCCCCACGTGGGGTTTGTGGAAATGCTCAGAAGAAATCTGATCAGTTCTTACGAACACTCTGTAAAAAGTTCTTTTGTGAATAAAACGACCTGGGCCAGGGGCTGGAGGGACACACAGGCAGAGATTATTATACGCACCCTTCCCAGAGTCTTGCTGGTTCAAGCTTCTGTGTGTATTCTTATTCATCAGAGTTCAATCCTTTACTTTGGGAACGCCTCAGGGAAGAATGGGAGCTTTTCAGGTACAGAATCCCAAGTTTTCTAGGTAACCAAATGGAGAAGGCAGGCATCTGCCTGTAGGGAGTGTGTTGACGTGGTTCCTTTGGCTTCCTAGGGCTTGACAGAAGAGAAGATCAGCCACATCCTGCAGCTGATCGAGGAGGAAGCCGACTGCAAAACAGAGAGTGAGAAGACGCCAGTCAAACGTGCCTCAGACCTTCAGATCCATGTCCCAGCCTGCATCTTGGCCCTCTGTGGATGGACTAGTAGGTATGTAGACAGAATCATGGAATTGTAGAATTGGAAGGGGACCGAGAGAGTCAACTAACCCGACCGCCTGCAGTGCAGGAAGCACAGCTAAAGAAATGCCTAAAATCTGTTTAAAAACCTCCGATGAAGGGCCATTCCAAACAGCTCTTACCACCAGAAGGTTCTCCCTGGTGTTTAGTCGGAATCTACTGTCTTGTAATTTGAATCTAGCAGAAAACAAGCTTGCTCCACCTTTCACGTGACAGCCCTTCACATATATGAAGATGGCTATCATACCATCTCGGAGTCTTCTCTTCTGCAGGCTAAACATACCCAATCGAAAGATGTCTTTTTTTAAAAAATTCGTCTTTATTAATTTAAAATATCATCTTACATATATATTACAAATAGTTACATCAAAATTAAACACAAAAATATAATAGAAAGAAGATAAAGGAAATAAAAATAAAAAGCAAAAAAGAGTTAACAATAAGAAATGAATATTGGTTATAACATCCTGTCTTTTCTAATACAGTGCTACCTCGGGTTAAGTACTTAATTCGTTCTGGAGGTCCGTTCTTAACCTGAAACTGTTCTTAACCTGAAGCACCACTTTAGCTAATGGGGCCTCCTGCTGCTGCTGCGACGCCGGAGCGCAATTTCTGTTCTCATCCTGAAGCAAAGTTCTTAACCCGAGGTACTATTTCTGGGTTAGTGGAGTCTGTAACCTGAAGCGTATGTAACCCGAGGTACCACTGTAAAGTCTTCTGAAAGAAACTTCCAATCATTCTCGTTGTACTTTTCCTCTTGTCTTAATTTTATCGCGCAGTTTGTTTTATAACTTTACCTGTATATTTATTCCATTTGTTTATTATATACAAGTACCATTCAGTCCTGCTAGGATAACATCATTATTACAATATAACCTTATATATTCTTTGAATAGTCTCCGTTCTCTGAATTTTTTTTGAAAGATGTCAGGCACATTCAGACATTCCCACGTTCCAGTCCCGTGACCCCTGCTCCTTCTGTACTAGGCAAGTTGTCCCGCAGCTGCCCTTGTCATCACCATCTGTCGCAGGGATGGAGAACCTGTGGCTCTCCAGATGTTGCTGTGCTTCCAAACATCTGGAGGGCGCTAGCTTGGGAAAGGTGAGCCTAGAGGGACTTGGAAGCCCCAAGGCTTTGCAGATAGGGCTAAGCTGATGTATTGGTATGGATCACATTTCCTTTATCCCCTGATTTTAATTTTTGGTATTGATTTTTGTGTCCTCCCTCAGCCCTTCCTCTGGATCCGTCCATCTCCCCTTGATCACCTGCTGTCGCTGCATGAGGAAGGTGGGTCTGTGGGGTTTCCACCAGATCGAGTCGGCCATCCCTGAGATGGAGCCTCCCTCCAGCCTCACCAGCACTCCTCTCCCTTTTTCGGACGGGCGCACGGACAGAGTCCCCGCGGTGCCCACGTCCCCACGACGGATGATGACCCGTAGCCGGGACACGAGCTTCCCTCTCGGCTTTGAACAGGTCAGTCTTGTGGGGGGGGCAAGTTACAGGTCTAAGCTGGAAGGGGCTTCCTTTCACATTGGGGCAGGGGCTCCTCTTTCAGATCCCTGCCCTGCTTGCATTTGAACCACCCGCAAAAATCCTTATTTGCCTTCTTGGGCTCTGTTTAGATTTTCTGGATCTCCTCCTGAGACTTTTAGAGTGTAATAAGGGACGCTGGTGGCGCTGTGGGTTAAACCACAGAGCCTAGGGCTTGCCGATCAGAAGGTCGGCGGTTCGAATCCCCGCGACGGGGTGAGCTCCCGTTGCTCGGTCCCAGCTCCTGCCAACCTAGCAGTTCAAAAGCACAAAGTGCAAGTAGATAAATAGGTACCGCTCCGGCGGGAAGGTAAACGGCGTTTCCGTGTGCTGCTGTAGTTCGCCAGAAGTGGCTTAGTCGTGCTGGCCACATGACCTGGAAGCTGTACGCCGGCTCCCTCGGCCAATAAACCAAGATGAGTGCCGCAACCACAGAGTTGGTCACGACTGGACCTAATGGTCAGGGGTCCCTTTACCTTTACCTAAGATGCCATAAGAAAGCTGCAGAGATAGCACAGGATAGCGCGCACCCCGGAAATGATCTCTTTCAGCTTCTGCCGTCTGGAAGAAGGTCCAGGGTTATAAAGACTAGGACTAGCCGCCTGAGAAACAGTTTCTATTCAAATGTGATTTTGGTTTTAAACGCAGTGTAAGGTAGTTTCTATGGGAGTATATTGTATTAATTATGGGGTATTAGAGTTTTTAGGGGGCTAACCAGGCTGGGATAGCTGGGACAGCAGGCTTGTTGGGTTTCGAATGTCTGATGTAGATTTTTTCAATTTCGTTGTTCTATATGGGACAATGACAATAAAGATTATCGTATCGTAAGGGTATGTTTCCCCTATCGTAGAGTTGGAAGGCACTACAGTGGTACCTTGCTTTACAACCATAATCCGTTCTGGAGGTCCGTTTGTAAACCAAAACAGATTGTAACCCAAGGCGTGCTTTCGCCAATGGGACCTCCAAAAAAAGTTGTTTGTAATCCCCCCCAAAATGGGTTGTAATTAAAAAAAAAAGGTTGCAAACTGGGACACGCACTTCCGGGTTTGATGTGTTTGTAATCCAAAACGAATGCAAACCAAGACGTACACAAACCAAGGTACCGCTGTACAAGGGTTGTCCAGTTGAACCCACTGCCATGCAAGAAGCACAGCTGAAAAATTCCTAACAGATGGCCATCTGGCCTCTGTTTAAATACCTCCAATGAAGGAGAGTCCGCTACCTTTAACAAAAGAATGCTGCATGCTAAAGTAACCCATAAAGGAAATCTGTGATCCATATAAATTAGGCAAGGTGGGAATATTCTGGCAGTATGGGCTTATTTCTACTGCTCTCATCTTTTCATTTCCCTTACTGCAAATCTACTGACCCTTTGTCTTTTTTAACTTGGTCTTCGTCTGTTGTCTCTGTCTTCGTTGTCTCTGTCTTCATCTCTGTCTTCATTGTCTCTGTCTTCATCTCTCTCTGTTATTCACTGCCTCTGTGTAGGAGTGGGATGGAGGGAGAATAGTTCCTGCCCCTCTGGGACCCCTTCTGAGTCCCACTCCTTGCTTTAATGCAGGGGGAGGGCACACCCAGCTAATCCCTCCTTCCCTTTCGCAGCACGAGAAGAGCCCGTCCCCCGTGATCAGCCGCATGCGCAGCTGGGACAGCTCCAGCTCCAGCGAACGAGCCGAGGCAGAAGCAGCGAGCCCCACCACCCGCAGCCGTCCCGTCACCCGCAGCATGGGGCAAAGCGATGGCAGCCTGGGGGCAGAGGTCTCCTGCAGCCCTCACCGGAGGACCAAGCGGGCACGACTGTGCTCCACAAGCAGCTCGGTGAGTGCTTGGCAGGGGGAATGGAGAAGGAGGAGGAATAATAATAAGCCAACCCTTCAAAGAGACAGAAGATTTTAGGAAGGAGAAAACATAAACTAGAACAGGGGTCAGCAAACTTTTTCAGCAGGGGGCCGGTCCACTGTCCCTCAGACCTTGTGGGGGGCCGGACTACAGTGTTGACGGAAGTCAAAAATATTGTATAAGATGTGAAGATATGTTGTATGACTGTTGGAACTGATATGTTAAAAAATTAATAAAAATGTATATATAAAAAATAATAATAATAAATTCCCAACTCCTCTGTCTCTCTCAGGATTCATCTATCCGGAGCTTCTTTGACCCCATTTCCCAGCACCGCGACTGGTGCCCGTGGGTCAACGTGATGAAGGATCCTGTGAGCTCTGGAGGGACCCAACAGGAGGAGAAGGAAGACCTCGGCTGGCAGGTCACCCTGAAGGCCCTCCTGGCTTCTAGGCTGTCCGACCGGCCTGTGGATGTGGAGTCAGAGGTGAGAACCTGCCGCCCAGTGCCCGTGGCGTGCTAGGCGCTGTGCAAAACAAGGAAAGCCCTTTTCCACACAGCGTGTGGTGGAACTCCCTAACACAGGAGGCAGGGGTGGGCACAAACCTAGATGGCTTTATTTATTTATTCCCCCCCCCCCCAATTATTCATTTTATAACACAAATAAAGAACACAAACAGGGAAAAAAAACAATACACACAAATTCTTGTCATATCCTTATTTTTCTAACCATTAAGTGGGCTTCCCCAAGTCCCACCTATCTGATTTTCATTTTACTTCACCTTTAGCAGTTTACATATATCATAGTTTCTAACCATCTTTTTTTATCACACTTAAAATAACTTCACATTTTATCACTTACAAATAATACTATTTTAAAGTACACGATCTACTACTTCTAACCCTACAGCCTATATCCACTTCCAAAGCTATTCCAAGATTTAAATATTAACATATTTTTTCAAATATTCCTTAAACTTCTTCCAATCTTCTTCCACTGTCTCTTCTCTCTGGTCTTGGAGTCTCCCAGTCAGTTCGGCAAGTTCCATATAATCCATCATCTTCATCTGCCGTTCTTCTATAGCTGGTAAATCTTGTTTCTTCCAATTCTTTGCTAGCAATATTCTCGCAGCTGTTGTGGCATACCAAAAAAAGTAACATCCTTTTTGGGGATTTCACCCCCCACTATACCAAGTAAAAAGGCTTCTGGATTTTTAATAAATGTGTTTTTCAACACTTTTTTCAGTTCATTATAAATCCTTTCCCAGAAGTCTTTTACCTTGGGGCAAGTCCACCACACGTGGTGAAAGGTTCCTTCTTTTTCTTTACACTTCCTGTATTTATTATCATGAGTATGATGCATTTTTGCTAACTTCACTGGTGAAGCCTAGATGGCTTTAAAAGAGGATTCGACAAATTTGTGGAAGGGGAGAGGGCTATCGATGGCTGCAGGCCATTGGTGGCCATTCGGTTCTTCTGAAAAGGAGTTGGTGGAAGCCAAAGGAGGGGAGAGGGTTCTGTGGGGTTTCCCACTAAAGGCATCTCGTTGGCTCCTGTGAGAACAGGATGCTGGACTAGATGGTCCGCAGCCCTGTTTGTTGTTGTTTAGTCGTGTCCGACTCTTCGTGACCCCCTGGACCAGAGCACACCAGGCACTGCTGTCTTCCACTGCCTCCCGCAGTTTGGTCAAACTGTTTAGGGACGCTTTTAATACTGGATGAATCATTGTATTTTTTAAATAATAATAATAATGATAATATTTTATTTATATCCTGCCCTCCCCAGCCAAAGCTGGGCTCAGGGCGGCTAACAACAGTAAAAATAGCACAGTTTGCATAAAATCACAGTCAGTTAATTGAAATCCATTCTAAAATCAATTCTGAATCAAATTAATGGCAACCATTGGGCTAGAGTTCTATGAGGTTTACAGAAGGAGGGGGTCAGACTGTGCCTTGGCCAAAGGCCTGGTGGAACAGCTCCGTCTTGCAGGCCCTGCGGAAAGATGTCAAGTCCCGCACGGCCCTGGTCTCTTGGGACAGAGCGTTCCACCAGATCGGGGCCATGAAAAAGCCCTGGCTCTGGTTGAGGCCAGCCTAACCTCCCTGTGGCCCGGGACCTCCAAGATGTTTTTATTTGTGGAGCTTAAGGTCCTCCATGGGACATACCAGGAGAGGCGGTCCCGTAGGTACGAGGGTCCTAGGTTGCATAGGGCTTTAAAGGTCAAAACCAGCACCTTAAACCTGACCCTGTACTCCACCGGAAGCCAGTGCAGCTGGTATAGCAGCGGGTGAATGTGATCCCATGACAAGGACCCCGTAAGGAGTCTTGCCATGGCATTCTGCACCCGCTGGAGTTTCTGGGTCAGTCTCAAGGGCAGCCCCACGTTGAGTGAGTTACAATAATCAAGTCTGGAGGTGACCGTCGCGTGGATCACAGTGGCGAGGTCAGGGCGAGAGAGGTAAGGAGAGGTAATATTCTGCTGGAAGCCGCCCAGAGTGGCTGGGGAAACCCAGCCAGATGAGCGGGGTATAAATAATAAATTATTATTATTATTATTATTATTATTATTAGCCAGATTTAGCAGGCTCTTTTTTTTTTAAATGATATTTATTACTTTCCAACAATTTGAACATACATAGAAAAAGAAAATAAACAATACAATACAATACAATACAAAAACAATACCTAACACTAAACTAACAAAAACAATTTAAACTAAAAAAACAAAACAAAAACAATTTAAACTAAGAAAACAAAACAAAAACAATTTAAAACACATCACATAATTTCAGTCTTTCATTCCCTTATTTCCACGACCTCCTCACACCTCCCTTTTTGTATTCCACTTCTATTTGGTTGTTTCAGCAATTCCTTTCCATCTTCCTCTGCTTTCCATCCTATAGTTATCTTAACACATTTTAACCTTATTTTTCCCTTTAATTCTCTGTTAATCTATTTATGCTTAATTCCTTATAACATTTCTACTGAAGCCTATGAACTTCATTCCAACATTTTTCTAACATTCATTAATTTTACAATATCTCTGTAAATAGTCTTTAAACTTTTTCCAATCTTCTTCCACCGACTCTTCTCCCTGGTCTCGGATTCTGCCAGTCATTTCCGCCAATTCCATGTAGTCCATCAACTCTTCTTATGAAGTACATTTGTGGCTGTTGGAGGTCCCATCCTTCCTCCAACTTGGGGGCCTTTGGAGCTGTTGGACTACAACTCCCAGAAGCCCTTGCTAGCACTAGCTGGTATGCCCATTCCCAGTGTAAGGCACATGTGTCTGAATTGCTTACAAAAGGCCCTGGTGGATCTTTTCGGCGATCCTGTCTAACTCTCAACTTGATGCAAGGAATCCAAAGCAGCCCTAAAAGGCACCCCCTCCCATTTCTCTGCTTGATGTCATCCAATAGGAGACAGGATGTTTCCCTCCCTTTGCTGGGGTTCCCCAAACATTGGGGAAGTTCACTGATCCCGGATGAGCTTATAAGGTCGTCGTCGCCCCCTAGCTAGAATGCATAGGAATGCAAATGAAATAAAATCAAGAGCTGCTACAGTCATACCAGCGTCATACCAGCGTGGAACGCTCTGTCACAAGAGACCAGGGCCCTGCGGGACCTGATATCTTTCCGCAAGGCCTGCAAGACAGAGTTGTTCCACCAGGCCTTTGGTCAGGGCCCAGCCTGACTCCCTCCTCTGGCAACCTGCACAGAATTTTGCTCAACGGTTGCCATTAATTTGATTTTAATTAATTTTTATAATGAAATGTTTTTAGAATGTTGAATTATTTGATTGTTTGATTATTTGATTGTTGTTAGCCGCCCTGAGCCCGGCTTCGGCTGGGGAGGGCGGGATATAAATAAAATTTATTATTATTATTATTATTATTATTATTATACCTCTTGTTATGTTTGCTTCAGGTTAAATCTTTTCAGGTTGCGTCCTGCGGTGACCCAAAAGTACTGGAAAGTGTTACTTTCGGGTTTCACCACTCGCGCATGCGCAGACGCTCAAAATGACATCAGGTGCATGCGTAGAAGCGGCAAACAAACAAGATGAATTTTAACAGGGAGAAATGTAAAGTATTGCACTTGGGCAAAAAAAATGAGAGGCACAAATACAAGATGGGTGACACCTGGCTTGAGAGCAGTACATGTGAAAAGGATCTAGGAGTCTTGGTTGACCCCAAACTTGACATGAGCCAACAGTGTGACGCGACAGCTAAAAAAGCCAATGCAATTCTGGGCTGCATCAATAGGAGCATAGCATCTAGATCAAGGGAAGTAATAGTGCCACTGTATTCTGCTCTGGTCAGACCTCACCTGGAGTACTGTGTCCAATTCTGGGCACCACAGTTCAAGAAGGACACTGACAAACTGGAACGTGTCCAGAGGAGGGCAACCAAAATGGTCAAAGGCCTGGAAACGATGCCTTATGAGGAACGGCTAAGAGAGCTGGGCATGTTTAGCCTGGAGAAGAGGAGGTTAGGGGGTGATATGATAGCCATGTTCAAATATATAAAAGGATGTCACATAGAGGAGGGAGAAAGGTTGTTTTCTGCTGCTCCAGAGAAGCGGACACGGAGCAATGGATCCAAACTACAAGAAAGAAGATTCCACCTAAACATTAGGAAGAACTTCCTGACAGTAAGAGCTGTTCGACAGTGGAATTTGCTGCCAAGGAGTGTGGTGGAGTCTCCTTCTTTGGAGGTCTTTAAGCAGAGGCTTGACAACCATATGTCAGGAGTGCTCTGATGGTGTTTCCTGCTTGGCAGGGGGTTGGACTCGATGGCCCTTGTGGTCTCTTCCAACTCTATGATTCTATGATTCAAATCACGACGCGCGCAGATGCGGGTTGCGTTCTGCTCATGTTACGAACGGGGCTCCGGAATGGATCCTGTTCGCAACCAGAGGTACCACTGTATATGATCAGCATTTATCCATCATTACTAGGAATCATAAAATGTAAAAAAAAGAAGAAAAAGGAATACCGTTCTCTGAAAACAGCTTCTTACATACAGAGGTTCCTCATGTGCTTGGGTAGTGCACTCTGTACATTAATTTTATTAGTAAATTGATTGCGGCATTTACATCCCGCCTTTTCCTCCAAGGAGCTCAAAGTGGCGTGAACGGTTCTCCGCCTCTTCATTTAATCCCCACAACAACCCTGTGGGGTAGGTTAGGCCGAGAGGCAGGGACTGGCCCAAGGCCACCCAATGAGCTTCATGCCCATGCCTTTGATTTCTGATGCCCATCGTTCCAAATTAAATTTATGCACTGCCCCTCATAACCTTTTCCACCCCTGTAGAGCCCCATCAACCTCAGGAGGGGTCAGTATCCACCTCTTTGAGAAATCCAGGGGACTGGTTCCATTGTGGAACTGCTCTGACCATTGAGTTTCTCTCGGTGTTCACCCAGAATCTGTCCTCCTGGAACTTCAGCCCGTGAGATCTGGTCCTTTGCCCTGTGGGGCGGCAGAGAACAAAGTCTTTGCCCTGTTCTTTCTGCAGGGATTTGAGGAAATGTTTCATGTGTCCATCCGTCCCCAACACACCTCAGCCTTCCGGTAAAATGTACAGTGGTACCTCGGGTTAAGTACTTAATTCGTTCCGGAGGTCCGTTCTTAACCTGAAACTGTTCTTAACCTGAAGCACCACTTTAGCTAATGGGGCCTCCTGCTGCTGCTGCGCTGCCGGAGCACAATTTCTGTTCTCATCCTGAAGCAAAGTTCTTAACCTGAAGCACTATTTCTGGGTTAGCGGAGTCTGTAACCTGAAGCGTATGTAACTCGAGGTAACACTGTAGTCCGTTCCTACATCCTTCCCTCCTTTGAGTTGTTCCCCACGCCCCTGCCAATCTTTATTATCATCTTCTGAACCCATTCAAAGTTGTCTACAAGAGCATCCGCCAACCTGATTTTTGGACTACAACTCCCAGCTGCGCTGGTTGAGACTACCGGGAGCTATAGTTTCTGCTTGCGAGATGGAGCGATTCCCCTAAACGCCCCTGCTCACCATTTTGGGGTTCTCCTGACACACACCCCCAAGACCTAATTTGGGGGGTAAGGGAAAGCCTCATTGCTCCAGGGCTTTTGCTGACAGGGTTTGTTCAGGCAAATCCCACCTGTGGAAACTACTAGTAACGCAGCCTGAAATTGCATTGGACATTTTTGCCGCAGCATCACATTGCTGCCTCCAGAGATAACACTACACGTTTTTGCCTGCGCTCATGTGAATGCTTAAGTTTGTCTCTCCTTCCTGCTACAGAACCTCTCTGTGAAATCCCGCAAGGTGTTCCAGATCTTCCGGCAATGGGAAGCTCCCTGTTCCTCCTGAGAACTTCCGGCCTTTGACAGCATTGTGGAAAGGAACCCGCTAAGCATAATGGATGGAATTCTCTCTCTGTGTGTTTGTTATCAATGGAAAAAGACTTATTATTTGCACTGGTGGCAAGGCTGTCCCGGGAAAACTTGCCTTCTCTCCAAACTTGTAAGCTGGAGTAATCCTCAAGGGCAGCAACCGGCTAACAATGGGAAGAAGACACGTCAATTGTAGCCACGGGGAGCCATTTTTTTCTATGCCTTCTTAGGGTTTACATGATGGTTTCCTGAATCCTTTGCACTGGTTCCCAACTGCCTAGGGCGATTCTCCATCTTAGGTGGAGCTGAATTTCCCTGATGTGCCCCAGGCTTGAATTGAACTGAGAGAAGATGGGTGAGATGGCCCACTTTGCATGTGGCAGATTTGGGTACGTCTCAGCTACAGAATTCAATTGGTTTTGCAGTTGAGGCTCACTGCCCTCCTGCTGCAAGGGATCCTGGGATCTGTAGTTCTGCAAGGGGCCTAGGGCTATCCGACCAACCATTCTCAGCCCCTGCACAAAAACTACAACTTCCTGCCATCTTTTTTTGGGGGGGGGGGGGAGCCATGCTATTTAAATGACTTTAAAACCAATTTAAGTTTGCAACGTCAATGTGGCTCTCGTGTTGAGTTTTGTACCCAGGCTGAGGTCTGGAGAACTTGACATTAATAAAACATTTTGCTGTCTTTTTTTTATTATCATAACTTCGCTCAGATTTCCATTTGCGTGTGAGACTGCCAGGAGCCACAGGCATTCTCTACCAAATAGCTTTTTGTTCCTTATCAGCCTAAATTGTACAATCTGGACGGCCAAAGAATTGACTTGGAGTGGGATGCATTTATGAAGATCATGCGTTCCTGTCTAGTAAGGGTGAGGAACTCTCCTTGGCTCCATGGGCCAGATTTTTATCTCCCTCAAAACAGCTGAGCCAGAAGGCTTTGGTTCTACCGCCAAAGCCTGGTTTCTCTTGTCAACACAGTCACCAGGCTCCCGATCGTGCATTGGCAACCGTGTCGCCTACACCTGATATCCCCAAAGCCCTGAGCAACTTGGATCCAGGATAGGTAAAGGTAAAGGGACCCCTGACCATTAGGTCGAGTCGTGACCGACTCTGGGGCTGCAGCGCTCTTCTCGCTTTATTGGCCGAGGGAGCCGGCGTACAGCTTCCGGGTCATGTGGCCAGCATGACTGAGCCGCTTCTGGCGAACCAGAGCAGCACACGAAAACGCCGTTTACCTTCCCGCCGGAGAGGTACCTATTTATCTACTTGCACTTTGATATAATAATAATAATAATAATAATAATTTATTATTTATACCCCGCCCATCTGGCTGGGCTTCCCCGGCCACTCTGGGCGGCTTCCAAAAGAATATTAAAATACTATAATACATCAAACATTAAAAGCTTCCCGAAACAGGGCTGCCTTCAGATGTCTTCTAAAAGCCTGGTAGTTGTTGTTCTCTTTGACATCTGGTGGGAGGGTGTTCCACAGGGAAGGCGCCACTACCGAGAAGGCCCTCTGCCTGGTTCCCTGTAACTTGGCTTCTCGCAGTGAGGGAACCGCCAGAAGGCCCTCAGTGCTGGACCTCAGTGTCCGGGTAGAACGATGGGGGTGGAGACGCTCCTTCAGATATACTGGACCAAGGCCGTTTAGGGCTTTAAAGGTCAGCACCAACACTTTGAATTGTGCTCGGAAACGTACTGGGAGCCAATGTAGGTCTTTCAAGACCGGTGTTATGTGGTCTCTGCGGCCGCTCCCAGTCACCAGTCTAGCTGCCGCGTTCTGGATTAGTTGTAGTTTCCGGGTCACCTTCAAAGGTAGCCCCACGTAGAGCGCATTGCAGTAATCCAAGCGGGAGATAACCAGAGCATGCACCACTCTGGCGAGGCAGTCCGCAGGCAGATAGGGTCTCAGCCTGCGTACCAGATGGAGCTGGTAAACAGCTGCCCTGGACACAGATTTGACCTGTGCCTCCATGGACAGCTGTGAGTCCAAAATGACTCCCAGGCTGCGCACCTGGTCCTTCAGGGGCACAGTTACCCCATTCAGGACCAGGGAATCCTCCACACCTGCCCGCCTCCTGTCCCCCAAAAACAGTACTTCTGTCTTGTCAGGATTCAACCTCAATCTGTTAGCCGCCATCCAACCTCCAACCGCCTCCAGGCACTCACACAGGACCTTCACTGCCTTCACTGGTTCTGATTTGAAAGAGAGGTAGAGCTGGGTATCATCTGCATACTGATGAACACCCAGCCCAAATCCCCTGATGATCTCTCCCAGCGGCTTCATGTAGATGTTGAAAAGCATGGGGGAGAGGACAGAACCCTGAGGCACCCCACAAGTGAGGGCCCAGGGGTCTGAACACTCATCCCCCACCACCACTTTCTGAACACGGCCCAGGAGGAAGGAGCGGAACCACTGTATAACAGTGCCCCCAGCTCCCAGCCCCTCAAGACGGTCCAGAAGGATGTTATGGTCGATGGTATCAAACGCCGCTGAGAGATCCAGCAGAACTAGGAAACAGCTCTCACCTTTGTCCCTAGCCCGCCGGAGATCATCAACCAGTGCGACCAAGGCAGTTTCAGTCCCATGATGAGGCCTGAATCCCGACTGGAAGGGATCCAAATGGTCCGCTTCTTCCAGGCGTGCCTGGAGTTGTTCAGCAACCACTCGCTCAATCACCTTGCCCAAGAATGGAAGATTTGAGACTGGGCGATAGTTGGCTATCGTGGCCGCATCTAAAGATGGTTTGTGACGAAGCGGTTTAATAACCGCCTCTTTCAGCGGGTCTGGGAAGGCTCCCTCACGGAGGGAAGCATTCACCACCCCACGAAGCCCATCGCCCAGTCCTTCCCGGCTAGCTTTTATAAGCCAGGATGGGCAAGGATCAAGGAGGCAAGTGGTTGGTTTCACTCGTCCAAGCAGCCTGTCCACATCCTCGGAGGTAACAGATTGGAATTGATCCCACACAACTTGACTAGACAGGACTCTAGCACTCTCCCGCCCCGGCCCTGCTCCCACGGTGGAGTCTACCTCTTCTCGAATCTGAGCGACTTTATCTGCAAAAACTTTGCAAAGTCATTGCAGGAGATCATGTGGCCGCTACTGGGCCCTGATGGAGCAGGTGGTTCCGCTAAATTGCGAACCACCTGAAAGAGTCTCCTGCTGCTGTTTTCCGCAGATGCAATAGAGGCGGTGAAGAAAGTCTTCTTCGCCGTCGCTATCGCCACTTGGTAGGCTCGACATTGAGCTCTAACCCGTGTCCGGTCAGATTCAGAATGGGTTATCCGCCACCGGCGCTCTAGCCGTCTCAACGATTGTTTCATTGCCCTCAGATCCGTGGAAAACCACGGGGCTGTCCGGACTCCATGCAATCGGAGAGGGCGCTTTGGAGCCAAACAGTCAATAGCCCTGGTTAACTCCACATTCCAGCGGGCCACCAGGGAATCAGCTGAAAGGCCATCAACATGGGATAAAACATCCCCTACCACTCTCTGGAAACCATTTGGATCCATTAAGTGGCGGGGGCGGACCATCTGAATCGGTCCCGCCTCCCTGCAGAGGGGAAGGGTCACGGAGAAGTCCAGTTGCACCAGGAAGTGATCTGACCATGGCACTTCTTTGGTTTCGCTTTTACTTAATGTCAGATCACCAACATCCATAGAGGTGAACACCAGGTCTAAGGCATGCCCGTGGCTATGAGTTGGGCCAGACTTATTCAGGGACAGCCCCATGGAGGCCATGCTTTCCACGAAGTCCCGAGCGGCCCCTTGTAAGGTCGTGTCGGCATGGATGTTAAAGTCCCCTAGGACAACCAAACTAGGTGTCTCCAGGAGGACATCCGCCACGACCTGAAGCAGCTCGGGCAGGGAATCCTTGGTGCAGCGGGGAGGTCGGTACACCAATAGGAATCCTGTACTGCCCCTATTGCCCAACTTCCAGAACATGCACTCAGAGAACTGGGTCTTTCCAATAGGACGCCTGGTGCAAACTAATGACTTCCTAAAAATCACTGCAACCCCCCCTCCCCGCCCACAAGGCCTGGGTTGCTGTGCGTAAGAGAAACCTGGTGGACAAGCAGCGGCAAGGACGGGCCCATCTGCTTCATCCAACCAGGTCTCTGTCACACATGCCAGGTCAAATCCTCCATCCACAATCAGGTCGTGGATGGCAGAGGTTTTATTCATCATTGACCTGGCATTGCACAGCAACACTTTCAGGTCATGTGGGTTTCCCTTGTTGATTCCAGTATCCTTCCGGTCAGGACCAGACCTGGAGGCAGGGATAGTCCTCAAACAACGACTAAGCCTGCTTCCTCGGTAATGACATGGTCTGGTCTTAGCGTAACTCCTCCTCCTACCCGTGATCACTGAGATCGGTTGTCCGAGTGCATCCCCCCCTGTGGAACCTGCCCCAGCCATTTTGTTTGCTGGGACCCACTCCCAGGCAGCCCTGACCCCTCCCCTTAAAATCAAATTAAAACCTATACAAAAATCAAACTAACAGAACAATAAAACTATAAAAACAAAAAACAAAGTTACAAACACAACATAATTAAATTAAACAAATTCCCACACCCAACTAAACACCCACCCCACCCCACACACCTGAGGCCTCCCTGGAGCCCCATAAGCTGCGGAGGCGAGTATGGGGCCCGCCCCCATGCCCAAGGTGGAAAATGGGCTTCAAGGGGGAGCGGTCCTCCCAAGACTCATAGGCAGAGCGGCAGCAGCGATGTCCCGAGGCCTCCTTGGAGCCTTATATGCTGTGGTGGAGTATGGGGCCCGCCCCCAGGCCCAAGGTGGAAAAAGGGCTTCAGGGGGGAGCGGTCCTCCCCAAGACTCACGGCAGAGCGGCAGGAGCACTGCTAGGTTGGCAGGAGCAGGGACCAAACAACAGGAGCTCACCCCGTCGCGGGGATTCGAACCATCGACCTTGTGATCGGCAAGCCCTAGGCTTAACCCACAGCACCACCCGCATCCCTATCCAACATACCTGAGCCCTTATATCCCAGCCTGATCACTGAGATCATTCAGAGGAGTGTTCTTAGCTGCTCTCCTGTGTTACAGGGGCCTGACCGGCTTCAACAGAAAGTCAGGAATTTAGTCCAGAATTGGAGGGTTGGAAGGGATCACCAAGGGTCATCTAGTCCATCCCCCAGCAGTGCAGGAATAACAGCTAAAGAATCCCTGACAGGCGGCCACCGAACCTCTGCTTAAAATCTTCCAAGGAAGCCTGGTGACAACAAACATAAGCAACACCTCTAACAAATAATGCAAATTTGTTTTGTGTGTTTAACCGGATTGCAGAATCCTGTTTTGAATTTCCAGGGTGCTGATTTTTTAATTCCCTTCTCCTTACACAAAGTGCAGGATCTGCCCTCACCCTCCAACTGCATTCATCTCCATGTGCTTCCCAGTTTGACACTCGGCTGTCTCGTTCCTTGCTTTGAAAAGTTCCAGATTTTCTGGAAAACCTGAATCTTGGAGACAGAATTCACCGTGAAGGTTGAGGGCATTTGGTGCTCGACTTGCCTAATACTATATTGCAGCCGTTGCTTGCGGTGGAGGGCGCTCCTGGACACACAGTGCAGAAGGGTAAAGGCATCTTTCAGTGGGAAAGCCATTTGCTTTACATGCAGAAATGTCCCGCATTCGACCCCCCCTAAAACTCCAGAGAGTTGCTGTAAGTCAAGAGGAGACAATACTGAGCTAGATGTAGCCTGCAGGATCAGGTCCATGGCCCATCTAGTCCAGAATCCTGTTCTTCTCACAGCGGCCGACCAAATATCTGTGTGGGAGACCCAGAAGCAGGATTCAAGCGCAAGGGCAACTCTCCCTTCCTGCCGTTTCCAGCAACCGGTACAGTGGTACCTTGGTTCTCAAACTTAATCCGTTCCAGAAGTCCGTTCCAAAACCAAAGCGTTCCAAAACCAAGGCGCGCTTTCCCATAGAATGTAATGCAAAACAGATTAATCCGTTCCAGACTTTTAAAAACAGCAATTTCAGATGAATTTTACTCTTTAACGAGACCATTGATCCATAAAATAAAAGCAATAATGTACTGTACTATAAAATAAATAATACAGTATTGAAGATGATGAAAATTAAATTATTTTTCCCCCTTACCTGCACTGATGATAGTCATTGTTTGGATGGGGGGGCTTTTATCCATTTCCGCAGTCACACAATCAATCAGTAGCTGAACTGGGTTCCACACAGTCACAAAAACAAATTAACCGAAAAGGCCTCAAAAACCAAAACGCAAAATAAACAGCAAAAACAAAAGCGCCAAATACAGTATTCAGAAGCATTGTCACCTGCAACCATGGAAGTAGAACATAACCCTCATGGCTAGCAGACCTCAAGAGCAAAACTCCCCTCCTGTGGTTTGCAGCAGCTGGGATTCAAAAGCATTGCTGCCTAGTGTAGGCAGAGCACAGCCATTGATAACAATTACCGTATTTTTCGCTCTATAAGAAGCACCAGACCACAAGACGCACCTAGTTTTTGGAGGAGAAAAACAAGAAAAAAAAGATTCTGGATCTCAGAAGCCAGAACAGCAAGAGGGATCTCTGTGCAGTGAAAGCAGCAATCCCTCTTGCTGTTCTGGCTTCTGGGATAGCTGTGCAGCCTGCATTCGCTCCATAAGATGCACACACATTCCCCCTTTTTAGGAGGGAAAAAGTGAGTCTTATAGAGCAAAAAACACAGTACTGTATTTCTCTTTTAAATCCATCCAAGTTGCTGGCCATTGCTGCCACCTTGTGGGAGGGAGTTCCGCAGATTAACTATACACTGTGCCAAGATCTGTCCCAAAGAGTCTGCTTCACTGGCTGTCCGCAAGTTCTGATGTTAAGAGAAAGGGAGGAAAACTTTCCTCTATCCTTTTTCTCTGCCTTATTTTTTACATACTTCCATCATGTTGCCTCTTGCTCTCCTTTCCTCTAAACTAAAAATCACCCAATGCTGTTCTGTCCCCTCGATCATTCTGCTTGCCCGTTAACTCCACGGCTGGGGAGCAATCGATCAGTGCATGTGGCTATGAACCAGAAGGTTGGTGGTTCAAGCCCACTGAAGGATGGCTGTGGGCGGGATTCCTGCATTTCGGGGCTGGACTTGATGACCCTTGGGGATCCCTTCCAGTTCTACAATCCTTTCCAACAGTAGCCTCTTCGAGGTGAGGCGACCAGAAATTTACACAGCATTCCAAACTACAACTACAGTGGTGCCTCGCAAGACGAAATTAATCCATTCCACGAGTGTCTTCGTCTAGCGGTTTTTCCGTCTTGCGAAGCAACCCTATTAGCGGCTTAACGGATTAGTGCTATTAGCGGTTTAGCGGCTATTAAAGGCTTATCGGCTTAGCGGATTAGCTGCTAAAAGGCTATTAAAGGCTTAGCGGCTTAGATAAAGGGGGGGGGAGTGAAAAAAAAATCTCAAAAATCTCAAGACTCGCAAGACATTTTCGTCTTGCGAAGCAAGCACATAGGGAAATTCGCCCTGCGAAGCAACTCAAAAACGGAAAACCCTTTCGTCTAGCGGGTTTTCCGTCTTGCGAGGCATTCGTCTTGCGGGGCACCACTGTAATCCAGAATGCGGCAGCTAGACTGGTGACTGGGGGCGGCTGCCGAGATCACATAACACCAGTCCTGAAAGACCTACATTGGCTCCCAGTACGTTTCCAAGGACAATTCAAAGTGTTGGTGCTGACCTTGAAAACCCTAAACGGCCTCGGTCCTGTATACCTGAAGGAGCGTCTCCACCCCCATTGTCCAGCCTGGACACTGAGGTCCAGCTCCGAGGGCCTTCTGGCGGTTCCCTCGCTGTGAGAAGCCAAGTTACAGTGGTACCTCCGGCTACATATGCTTCAGGTTACTGACTCCGCTAACCCAGAAATATTACCTCGGGTTAAGAACTTTGCTTCAGGATGAGAACAGAAATCGTGCTCTGGTGGTGCGGCAGCAGCAGGAGGCCCCATTAGCTAAAGTGGTGCTTCTGGTTAAGAACAGTTTCAGTTTAAGAACGGACTTCAGGAACGAATTTAGTACTTAACCCGAGGTACCACTGTACAGGTTTTTGGTCATTTAAAGTTACAGGGAACCAGGCAGAGGGCCTTCTCGGGAGTGGCACCCGCCCTGTGGAACGCCCTCCCACCAGATGTCAAAGAGAAAAACAACTACCAGAGTTTTAGCAGACATCTGAAGGCAGCCCTGTTTAGGGAAGCTTTTAATGTTTGATGTTTTATTGTATTTTAATAGTTGGTTGGAAGCCGCCCAGAGTGGCTGGGGAGGCCCGGCCGGATGGGCGGGGTATAAATAATAAATTATTATTATTATTATTATTATTATTGGTTAGACGTGGTGTAAGGCAGCTTTTAATGTCCTGTAGGAGAGGTATATCAGGTATATACAGTGGTACCTCAGGTTAAGAACTCAATTCGTTCTGGAGGTCCGTTCTTAACCTGAAACTGTTCTTAACCTGAAGCACCACTTTAGCTAATGGGGCCTCCCGCTGCCGCCGGAGCACGATTTCTGTTCTCATCCTGAAGCAAAGTTCTTAACCTGAAGCACTATTTCTGGGTTAGCGGAGTCTGTAACCTGAAGCGTATGTAACATGAAGTGTCTGTAACCCGAGGTACCGCTGTATCAGGTATATAAAAGCAGGACAGAATGGAAATTTATCTGTGGTTTGTTTGTTTTTTGTATTTTAAATCGGTGTCTAAAACAGTCTGCTACCCTCCAGATGTTTTGCACTGCAACTCCCATCTGCCTCTGGAGGGCACCAGGTTGGGGAGTGCTGGCCTGATCTGTTGGCCGGGAGCAGAGAGCGCAAGCATTTTCCGGAAAAGCCATCTGGACGTAAGGTGGGTGGGGGAATTTGCTGGTCTGCTATCTGAAACAGTCCCATGCTTTAGCTGGACTGGCTGCATTTTGGTAGATAGTTTGCTGGGAGGGGCTTAGTGTGGGGGTTTTTGGTGAATACACAGTTGTCAAGGAAAAACAGCTGTTTGGTTTCCAGACCTCAGCCGGTTTCATAAGACGCCGCTGCTGACGTTGCAAGGTTTTATCAGTCCTCTCAAACATCTGCTGAGGAACGCTCCCCGTCATTTGTTGATTCCCTGGGAAGTACCAGGCGCTCAGCGCTGAATGCTGGCAAGAAAAAATTCAGGCTAGGGAAGGATCCAGTAGCTGAGGGGTAGATGTGTTTATTTCTGTGAATTTAGGACCCAGATGGGCAGCCTGTGGCTGAGGAGCTGCAAGTGGACCCCAGCCTCATTTTATGTCGTGGGTAGGCAAACTAAGGCCCGGGGGCTGGATCCGGCCCAATCGCCTTCTAAATCCGGCCCGCGGACAGTCTGGGAATCGGTGTGTTTTTACATGAGTAGAATGTGTCCTTTTATTTAAAATGCATCTCTGGGTTATTTGTGGTCCCTGCCTGGTGTTTTTACATGAGTAGAACGTGTGCTTCTATTTAAAATGCATCTCTG